TGTTTTCGTTGAGGATTGATTTGCCAAACTGGGTATCTGAGGGATCACTGGCACCTGAGAGGCTTGGCTGGAGCTTGATCCAACGTGGTCTGCTAAAGGTACAGGAAGCTCACTCACCGTGTCTGTAGTGGGTGCAAGCCTTCTTCATCAACTTCGCGCGGTTCCGTCAACCAAGATTCTCTCAACCCCGCTTCCTTCAACCATGTTCCCCGCTTCCCTCAACTCAGATTGTGCGTTTCTTTCAACCCCCATCGCCCGCTTCCCTCAACCCGGATATTGCCGATTCTGTCAACCCCCATCGCCCGATTCCGTCAACGCATACTGTGCTGATTCCGTCAACTCCGCCCCCCCGTCTGCGTGCTGGGGGTTGAGTGAATCTGCGTGCTGGGGTTGAAAGAATCAGGTTGTGTATGGGTTGAACGAAGCAGTTCTTTGGGTTGAAGGAATCATTTCCTTGGACATGGTTAAATGAATCTGCGTTCTGAGGTTGAAGGAAGCAGGTTTTGAGGTTGAAGGCATCCGCGTTTCCGGGTTGACAGAATCCGCGGTCAGTGGTTGACGGAATAATCGGCGAAAAGTTGAAGGAATCCGCGCGCGACCATATAGTGCACCTTCCGGAAGTTCTGTGCCTCTCGCTGATCTCCCAGACTTCCAGACAATACCTGTTCCAGCCTTAAGGAAGCTAGTGTGACCGCTTCTCACAGAAAGGACATCAGGAAAGCACTTCTGTGGATACCTTTCCGGCTTTTCCCGAAACCCAGCCTCGTTTGCTGTCGTTAGTGTGTTTCGGAGAGTCAATCGCTCACGTGGTTCTGAGACCCTCCACGTTCATTCAAGCGTTCTCCATGTCCTGTGCAGGAGTGTTGCCAGCCCTATCGACAGTTTAGATTAGATGGAGAGCTTCGAGGAAGATGAGAAACTTTCTGTCAGCTGAAGAGCAACTGCATTAGGGAGGATATCAGTTGTAGAGGCAAAGCCAAGACAGCCAGATGTTGCAGGCAGGCCGCGATTTGCAACATTGCAGACTCGGTTGATAAGCACAATCAGAATTGCTCGCCAGTTTAGAAAGTCGTGGCATCGAGGCCAGGACCAATGTCACAAACGGCGGAACTCAAGGAACCAGTGGCAGAAAATGGGGCCAACACCTTTCAAATGGATTCAACGTCGACACTCTTTCCGCATCTTCGCGCGGCCAAGCTCTGCCCGCATGACAGCGATCGTTGCACACAATTGTCCCCTGCTGAACGGCGCTCCAAATCATTTCCTCAGGTTCAGGTTACATTCAACTTGTGTTCGCACTGAGTTTGTTTTGGCCTGAAGCGTTTTGAACGTCCTCCCGGCAGATGGCTCTCCTGGCGACTCATCAGAATCTGAAGCCTCGTTTCTCGGTCGGAATGGGGTCTGGCAGATGCACATTTGGCTTGTGCTATCGCCGTCGCAGTGCTTGCAGCTTCAGATCGAAGGCGCATGGGCCTCATGCGTTGTCTGCATCGCAAGCATCCATGCAGGTTTGTTCGTCTACGATCCAATACAGTGTAGGGCTTGGCTTATCACTTGAGGGATAGTTAGTACAAAACTGTAAGTAGATCTCTACAGGGTAGGTAGATAGATTTGCAGGGTCTGGGGACACCTGAACACACATCCGCTGACTCTGCAGAATTTAGACCTTGGGTCTTCGGTGTTGAGGATTACGGGCTTGAGATCAGATTTCACGCTCACTCCCGATCCCAAAATCCGAGTGGCCCATAGCCTCTCCATCTATTTTCATCCGAAGCGGCCTTCCTTTTTTGCCTGGCACGCATGCGGCGGCGCCTGTGGCGGCGCAAGCGGCAATGCCCGCGGCCGTGCCCGCTTTCGATCGCGAAGATGTTGAGTTGATGAAAAGATTTGTGGCCCATAGGTTAATTAGTCTGAAAGCACAGTGCAAGTTTTGCACGGGCGGGTGTCCATCTGCCTCTTGAGCATGACCGCCCTGCAAGTTGTCTTTCCTTTCAAAGCGGCTTTTGCATGTATCTGCGCTTTCGGTTTCCAGCCGCGATGAGACAAAGGGCCTTGAATCTCAAAGCACGCGATGTGCTGCAAGGTTGGCTGTACTCTTCTTGAATTGCCGTGCAATCACCCACAATATGCCAAGTCGCAAGCTCACGGTGTACGCTAGAATAGCTTCGTGAACACTCCCCTCATCAGCCTGCAACTTCGTGGAAGTTGAGGCCTTTTGTGCAAACTCAGCAGTGCGGTTCACAGGTGGGGATTTCAGCATTGGACAGCCGTTCGACGATGGGTGTTGTGAGAGCAGGTCTCCTAGCTCTCCTAGCTCTGCCCATGGAAGGAAGGCATGGAGTGGCCATCAAGCTGGCAGCGGTTTGGAGCTTAGCACAGCGAAGGTTTCGAGGATGTTCTTGATGGCTCTCCGCGCCGAGCCTTGTAGAGATGATGCTCCGATTGGCACAAAGCCTTGACACGACTAGCTCCCGTAGAGGCACCCAGCCTTATGTGCCAGCTGTTGCTTCGCTGTGTGAATGTCTGAGAGGGCTGGTCTGCAGCTTGCGTCAGGGCGAAGGCCTTTGAGCCGGCAAGTCTGCAGCTAAATCGCGGAAGCTTAGAACTCCTATCCCCAGCCACACCATCTTCGCTGCTTGGGAGCAGGCCAAGGGCGAGCAGCTGCTGCAGATCCTTGTGTTGGAGCCCAGACAGACGATGGTCGCTTATGGGCCGCCAGCACCGCTGGAAGCACTGCCAGTACTGGCAGCGTCCCTAAGCGCCGTTCGCTTCTTCTCGCGGCTTCGTTCGGTGTGCTCAGCGTTTGGCCTTTGTCTGGTTACACGCAACTCTTAACTTACACTTTTTCGCACACTCTTGGGCTGAGGAACCCAAGCATAAATCCTGTAGCTTAGTCTCGTAAGGTTACGGAGCGGTAGCTAGACAAGCTGAGAAGCCGCGGTCTCAAACGGACCAGCTGCAGGCCCCCTTCTCCTCGGTTTCTTAGGCAGCTGGTGTAGACTTGCACACGTTGGATTGGTCCAAGACTTGACCGATCCAGTCCATGTGCCGCTCTCAGGCCTAACGGGTCAAGGTTGAAGGTTTAGGGTTCATGTACTTGCGAATTTTGCGTTTTTGAAGTTGTGGGATCTAGACATGTTTGGGGAAGGCATATTTGTGCCCAGCGGCTGGCACTGGGTAACCGGAGGAAAACTTAACGCTGTTTTGCGACTGGTAGTCCCTAGGCCCGGTTGCTTTTCGGCGGCCAGGGCGCGTGCAAATACTTGCTATGCGCAGGCAGCAACTTAGCCAGCATCAAACAATTCAGAAAGCTACGAAGCTCAACTGGGCACAAGGGTGTTGCAAAGCCTGGTGCCAACGGTTGCTGCAAAAGGCTCTCATTCGTTTCAAGCGGAGAGTAGGAGACTACGAGCTCCGAGCTTCAAGAAGCTCCCAGCGTGTAAACGCCGAAACACCATGCAGTATTCCACCTTTGAGTATCAATCTGTCCGCCTGAGAATCACTGAGCCTGAGTCCAGCAGTTGGCTTTGAAGGTTGCTTTCGGTTCGGCGGCGGGTCTACACCGCGGCTCCTTGAGCACAAAGTCGCTCCGTTTTGCATGAGAGCTTGCATGTACTGTACCAGCCCAGCAGAAATCAGTGGTTGCACCTGCGGTGCATCAATGTGGCGTATGAAGTTCTTATGTTGAGCGATGCCGTGGGCTAAAACGGCTGCTGCCATTCGTACTTGCTCGCAGATGCGAAGACTCACCGATGTTGAGCCCTGTTACAGCCAGTATGGCGGAAACCTGTTCATGTGGGCATATCATAGGTGTGGACAGACTGGTGCTGCGCTTTGCAGTGTTCTCCGGATTTCTGAAATTCCGGCGAACACAAGGTCAAGAGCGGCAACAGTGACTGCAAGATCGATCCGTCCCAGCGTGGCCCCTGCGTGCACACAACAATGTTCCTTTCGGAACTTGTTTGTTGAGGACCCTGGAACTAGAAAAAGAGCGCGGTTGCAGCGGCAGGGTGCTCCTTAGTTGCCAAGCCTACTCAACTGATTGGACCTTGATGAGGCGATTTTTCAATGACTTTGGTCTTCAGGGTTTAAGGCCTTTTGGCGAGACCCTGCTGGGTCACCGCCGGAGGGGTGATCATTCGAGGTGATGTTGTCTCGGAAGTACGAAGCCGCTGCGACCTGCTCAGGAAGGTGTAAAATTCAACAGGGCAAAGCTTTATAGTGAGCAGCATATCAACTGATTCGTTTACACACGCCTGCAGGCATTGCGTTTGTTCACTGCTGTTTAGTTGTTTGTTTCCATGTAGTTCACAGCTACGGAGTTACGTATACACTCATTTACCTGTAGCAGGACAACATGTCATTCGTCACCTTCGCCACGCACCAAGCAATGGGTAGAGAAGTTCAAGTCGTTTCCGAAGTAGGGTAGCGGCAAGCCTTCAGCCCAAAGCCCTAACTCCCTCTACCAGTCGAGATCCAAATCAATACCCTAGACGTTGTAGTAAGTTGGAGTATCATTTAAGTCGAACTTGAGAAACCGCCTGTAGCCATGAAAGCTGAGATACAGGAGCTTGCTTGTTTCGGAGTTTATAGAAACGCAGGACGGGGTCGGTTGCCTCTTCAGTGTGCGCATCTTGTCAAACTCGTCTGAGATGGCAGAGCATAGTTTGTATTTGCAGGAATTGAGCGGGTCATTCGTCAAGCAAGTGCAACTCAAATACTACAGTCACTACAGACTCCAAAGTTGATTTTCACATGAGTTTGTGATTTGTTGGCTTTCCTGTAACATCCATGTTTGATTCAGGCGGACGAACATTGAATGTGAAGCTTCGCCAGTTTGCACACACGTTGTGGTTCACAAAGACTGTCCGGGCGTGTATGGGCATAAGTGAGATCGTACGTGATTTTTTGGCAGTCGTGTGATTCATCCGTTGGATTGCTCGCTTCTTTGGTTTCGCTACAACAGCACACCCCACTTGGTGACTTTGCTCGAGGATCCAATGCAGGGGGATTGTCCAATGCGCAAATCGCACATGGCGGCTTTTTCTGGCAGCCGGACAGCATCGGTGCAGTTTGTGGAAGATGAGTCCCTGAGCCCTGTTGATTTGGATGAGGGCTCACCTCGTTCGCGGGCAACATCAGCAAGTAGAAGGATGGACAGAACATCCACCCTTCACTTCAACGGGGTCTCTCACCAGCACGGCATTCACAAAATACGAGTGCAGAGGACTTCAAACACCGAGGGCAGGTTTGCACCTAGCATGGAGGAAGAGACGAACTGTTGTGCCCCTTGGAGGTCACTGGTGAGACAGTACATGAGGATCACCTACATGATCAGCGAGCGAATGCCAGAGATACATGTCAACTCGGAAGGCCACGATACACATTCCCTGGCTTTTGTGTTGGCTTCAGTGGCTCTGGTGTTGGTCCTAACCGTGTTGGGACCCGTGCTCATGCCCGTGGCAGTTGTGTACACTGCTACATGCGGTGCTGGTCCATCTGGCTACATGAACTTAAATTCAGGACCGGCTGAGCCAGAAAGGGCTGCAGAGCCATATCCTGCCCTTCTCAAATGGACTCTGACGATACTTCTGGCTGGGCTGTCTGCGTTGCCATTGTACTTGTTGTCGAGCATGAGCATGGTTGTGTTTGATGAAGAGGTGTTGATGGAGTTCATGAAGCCTGAGAACCCCATGCTCGAGCTTTGGGGTCCGTATGTCTGTTTGCTGATCCTGTCTCTGGCATTCCATGCCGATGTTTGCCAGTGTTGCATCGAGAACGGCGCCGGCCAAATGCTTTTGGATGAGATGCACGAAATGAGAGAGCAGGATAACTTCATGGTCAAGATTGCGAAGAATATTGATGAGAAGGAAGTGGAAAATTTGATTGCCGACATGCAGGATCTTGTGCGCTACATGGATGTGCATATCCAAGAGCAGAAGCACGGACTCTTCATCACAAGCCAACGTCGCCTTACCAGCAACTTCATGTATGCAGTTTTTCAGGTCATTCTGGACGAAATGCTGGACGCCGACATAGACGACGAAGAGGACAAACACAAGAAACGTAGAAGGGATGCTGAACGTAAAAGCGCGTTCGTTTTCAGTCTATTTCAGCGCTAACGGGGCCCTTCAAGGGCTTAGTTCCGGGAATTTGCACGGTGATAGGGTATGATAGGGTGTTCCTCGAGCATGTTTGTTTGGCATTGGTATGACGCCGCAAGGATCCTTCTTGGCGGCTACGCAGTCGGCTGGAGCAGTGTTCAGCATCGTCCACGCACATCGCTCCGTCCGCTGTCGCAGTTCTCCTCGTGGGCAGTCTGGGGCCAGCACTACTTCCGGCACTTGTCAGATTTGCTAACGGTTACCAGGGATTGTGGAGCCATGATGGTGTCTGGACCTGCCAGCGAGCGTATCTTTTTATGGCATTCCTTACATCAATGCGCCTGATCGGAGGCTGCTACGGGCTTATTGACAGCCTTGGCAGGTTGCAGCTTGCGACGCTAGCAGCGTTGTATCTAGCTGCACCACGTAGGCGTCGAGCAGTTCTGGCTTCCATGTACAGGCCCCAGTTTGACAAGCTTCTGTTTCTGCCTCACGGAGATCAACAGGCTCATGTGCCGCTGGCTCCTGCTCGAGAATCATCCAGTGAAATGGAGTGTTGGTACGGGGGTTTTGCACGCTTCAGATGTGTCTTCGTTGGAAGTAAACTGCGCGGGAAGGGTCTCGAGTTTCGCAACAAAGAGTCCATGAAGCAGGAGGAGACTGAAGAGAGCCCGCAGGCTCAGATCCCGCAAGAGGACGATGCAAATGCAAGTGTCACTTATCTGGCAGCGCGAAAGTTCGCGTTTCTTCAACTCCTCACAAGAACAGACTGTTTGGTTCTCGAGGGGAAATCGGAGGCAGTCATGTTGGTGTTAATGATGATCTTGACCCTGGTTGCTGTCCTCCTTGTGTATTCAGTTGGGCTTACAGACGGCCAACACTATATCACTCTGGCTTTTGGGTCCTTGATATTGCTAGGTGTTCTGGCTGCCATGCTTTCCATTGTGAACAATCTGGTGTCTCTGGAGCGTTTGCTCCTTGCCGACACCCTCAAGATCCTGCAAAGTTGGCGAGAGCGGCTGGAACGCTTAAGATACGGAGTCACAAGCACGCTCTTCGAAGACGACAACCGGAAGGACATAACGTTCTTGGACAACTACCTGTGCAGCAACTGGGCCGCAGAGTCTTCGTTGCTTGAGCGTTAAACCAGTTGCTCATCTCGGGTTTTCACACACGAAGCCGGACGTATATAGTGAACCTTTCTGTTATTCGACGCGGCTTAGGCTTGATCGATCCCGTAGCTGGGCTGATCGACTACACCAAAAATTGGCAAAAACCAGTAAGCATCTTCGGTATCACGGCATCCAGTACTCGCCGCAACCGGGTGGTGCTGTCGCTGCTGGCATACTTTGCGGTACTCCTTTGGCAGCTCTTGAAGCAACAGAGTTGGTACATTGCTTTGCAGCAAGAACTGGCACAGATTGCCGATTCGCACGGTGTTCATTTTAGCTGAGCTCAGAGCCAAAGGAGCCTGAGCACTGTCTGCGGCGGAGCAACTTGCCAGCGTTTCACGTGCAACTGCCACTGAGACAGAGCAAGTCATGGCAAGGCATCTTCTAGTGGGTTGCCAAAAGTGTATGTGTTGACTCGAATGTCACATCACAAGATTTTGCCCGTGGCTCTCCTCGAACCCAAGACCCAACCTTGACCTGCATGTGGGATATTCGGAAGCGGCGCTGTATCACACTATGGCACCTCGCCAAGGATGTAGCGGCCCGTAGCGGCCCCGAAGTGTAGCCATGGGTATCGCTTCTCCAGAGGCCGTGTCTTGAGATTGCTACAAAATATCTGGACATTGATCCTTTAGCTGCCCTCAGCCCAAAACCCGAAGCCTATGTCCTAAAACACCGTACATGGGGGGTGGCAGTGCGCATAAGAGGGCATGTGCCTGTAGCGGAGCATGGGCGGCCGAGAATGAATCCCGGGACTTTTCGGAACCAACTGTTGGTCGTCTAAGCACGGGTTCAACATGAAAGGTATGCTGGTTGTCGTTCTTCTGTGCACCACCTTGAAGCTTCAACACTGACCGCATGAAACCAAAGACAGTCGACAGATTCAACTTCGTCCCAGCACAAAACCCCTTGATTAACTCATAAACCTAGTATTTGAAGCTTTCATCATGTTTAAAAAGTACAGGTCCGGCCGGAGTGCTTCTCAATAGGGTCACATGCGACATGCAGAAAGCAGACAAGTCGATCAAGCACACGAAGAAGCATGCAATGATGGAATGGCGGCACGGAGCATCTCGAAACGCATCGCCGGAGGCGCTACAAATTGCTAGACATGCAGTAATGCTGCAGGGCCGTTGAATGTGTTGGTAGGCCTGCCTTTTCTATTTCCGCAGGACGTTGGTATGCTGGTCTCCTTCTCCGTCAACGATGCAGGTTCCACAGCAATGATGCTCCTTTCGATAAGGCTTCCCCAACCGTGCAGGTGGCAGCTTGCGGGCGTTCGCTGCGCGAGCACCCTTACAGAAGTGGCACAGTCAGAGAAGGCAAACTGGTTGAAAGAAGTACAACTGCTGTGTTGTGAGTAACATGAATTCAACCAATTTGTCATTGGGCATCTCATGATGCCTTGCTGCGAGGAGAACAGCGCACCACGAAGATTGGCCACACCGCCAAGAGGTTCCGCGGGTAGCTGTCTTCGTGTAGTTGCGATGAGACATACTTGGACTCCTTCCTTGCTGCCCGATAGCAGAGATGTGTCAAGCACTTGGTCAGAGGTTTTCGGCGGATGACTCTTCGGGACGTGCTCGCCTTGACTTGTGTGCCTTGCGTGGCCGCATGAGGAAGACGAGGATCCAACCCACGGTGACCATGTGGTGATGAAGAGAGCGAAGATAACCATGTCAATGATGATGATGTCAGTCATGGCGATAGCGCCCATGATGTTGACAACTGTGTTGACAATGACGACAGTGATGGCGACTGCTTATGTGCTGATAGATCTGTTTGTCGTGCTGGTCGGGGACTAGATGCAGTAGCCTGGTCCGAGTTTGACATCCCGATCGAAAACAAGCCAGCCGTGGATCTCGCGAAGCAAGCCGAGGAGGCGTTTAGATGTTGTTGAGAGAATTGAATAGTGAGCGAAGCGGATCATGGACACAAGGGTAGGAGTATGCGTGTGCTGACTGCTGTGCTTTCTGCAGCAGGAGCCGGACGAGGCTTGGAGTGCTTGTGACATCATATGACACGTCTTGAGCGGAAGACTTCCACGTGGTTTCCAGGATGGACCGGTAAGGATCTCGGAGATCACGGGCCAGGCGGGGCCGGGTCCCCTTGGAAGCCGAGGCCGAGCGTCCGAGGCTCCGAGTGCTTGCGCGAGGAAGTCCAGAGCCTGTGGCCTCCGACGCCCTTGATCGCGGCGGCCCCGGGCTGCTCTCGAATTCCTCAGCTTCCCTCACCTTCCCTCGCTTCCTCGCTTCCGTCGCTTCGGCTGTGAGGACATGAAGAGCAGAGACAAGCTCATGGAGTCGCTGGACCAGAACGAGCTCATGGAAAAGGCCTCTTGGAAGTGCGCCTCAGCGTCTCGATTTGGGACTCTTGCAGGTGGACGAAGAGGAGCGCCGTGAAGTTGCGAGGCTGGGCGGTGAAGCTGCTTTCGCTGCTACGGGATATCTCGTAGGCAAGCACGCCCTATCGAGTCATGTTGAATCGTTCTCACCTTCCCGCCACCAGGCCATTCTTGTGGCTACAACACGAGGAGCAGGATTTCGTGCGAAGCTGAGCGGCAAGAGCGGCAATCCGTTCACCGCAACTGCATGGCAGAGTGTGTAGTGCAAGGTGGTGAGAACTGGAGTTTCTGCTGCACAGCCCCAAGACACGTGCCAGTAGCGGCGGCTTTTTTCAGGTTGGCAACGAAGATGTTGGCAGATTCGTCAAGGCAGTCTGATAAAAAAGCGTCACGAGCGAGCCCGTGTTTCCTTGTTCTCCTCGCAGATCGCCCGCGATGACCTGCTTGAGCATTTGCCGGAAGGAGGCTGTGGTGAGTTGTCGTCCGGGCCTTCAAAGCTCACGGCAACCACGGCATTACAGCCGTTGCAGAAATCTGAGGCGCGATTTGACTTTGATCCCTGACCGCACGCGGGACGTGGGCTTCGTTGGCCTGTGTTCTTGAAGCTGTAGTGACAGAGAAAGTCAAGATTCCTTTGGGGTAAGCTGTGTGCATGCTTATTTGTGAGGCTCTTGAGCCGCATCTCTTGGCCAGGTCTGATGGTCAGGAAGCTGTCGATTGCCTTGGCCTGATCCGACGAATCGGCCATGTAAGCCATTCACAGAGACATCTGTGTGCTGGTTTGGTAGCATTCAGTAGCGGTGCTCTTGCTTTCTGGACGCAGCAGATGTTCTATTCCAGTGTTTTCATGCTGGCTGTCTTACTGTACCCTGTGGCCGCTGCTGCAGCTTTAAACCCAACGTCTGTAGCATGCCACAGCGCGAAGTACTACTACTACCACTACTACTACTACTACTACTACTACTACTACTACTACTACTACTACTACTACTCCTGCTGCTGCTGCTGCTGCTGCTGCTGCTACGGCTACGACTACTACTACTACTACTACTACTAGTACTACTACTACTACTACTACTACTACTACTACTACTACTGCCACCACGACTACACGACTACCACGACTACCACGACTACCACTACTACTACTACTACTACTACTACTACTACTACTACTGCTACTGCTACTGCTACTGCTACTGCTACTGCTACTGCTACTGCTACTGCTACTGCTACTGCTACTGCTACTGCTACTGCTACTGGCTACTGCTACTGGCTACTGCTACTGGCTACTGCTACTGCTACTGCTACTGCTACTGCTACTGCTACTGCTACTGCTACTGCTACTGCTACTGCTACTGCTACTGCTACTGCTACTGCTACTGCTACTGCTACTGCTACTCCTACTACTCCTACTACTCCTACTGCTACTTTTACGACGACGACTACTACTGTTGCTACTATTGCGAATGCTACAATCTCTAGCAATCATACTCGTGCTTCTCGTTCCTCTTTTGCTACTACTCCAACCTTTCTGGCTTACCGTGTAACCTTTCTGAATAGACGGCTTTGATTCGAAGCTCTTCTTCGAACGGCTCATGGCCTCGCTGAGTGATCCGAGCCCGGGCTGCGAGAGCCACGGCTTCACGGAGTGGATTGTCTGTGCGGTTTGGGGGGTTTAGAGTGCAGGGTTGGGGGTGGAGGAGTCGACATTTGCACAAGGATCTCTGGATGCGCTGTTGCCTTTGAGTTTCGGCGTGCATACAATCTGCAAGCCATTTTAGGGACAGCGGGGTTTCAGTTGGTTCGGCTGGGTCGACGATCTCTAAGTCACACATTTTTCATTCGCAGCGATTGAGTCTGTCGAAGACGCACGCCTAGCACACATGAATTCGAAGTGAAACACCCACCAGAACGAGGCGGTGGGCCCCTCAGCGCCTGTCATCCCGGCAGTGCCAGGCCAAACAGAAAAGCGCTTCACCAGGCCGCATAACCAGCAAGCGAAGTCGTTCCTCCAAAACGGGCCCCCAGGAGGCAATCTTCGATCGCGGGGCCCTCAAACTTTACCCTATGACAGGCACAGTGACAGCGTATGCGCAAGTTGGGCAAAGCGCAAACAGAATCAATTATCCAAAACAGCAACACTAAGCATTAATGCAGGCCATTTACAACGCCAGTGTTTGTGGCAATATTGCTTCCACAACACATGGGCACATATGGATAGTCTAAAGACATCCACAAAACAAAGCGGCTATAATGATCCGCATGAGCATGCCTCCACTCAAGGCCAAGTGTGGGCATTTGCAAACAAATAACTTGGGATCGGCTACATGTAACATGAGGCCAAAATCCATGCACGGTCCCCATGGTCAAGCTCAAAAAGGTTGACTGGCACCACAAGTTGATGCAGTTCAACCTTTGATTGTAACAAAGCTATCCCCATCATCCTGCTGCAGCATGCAATCAGAATCCGTGTCACAAGCATCACTCTCCACGTTTGGCAGTTGGGGAATGTTCCAAAGTTCACACCCTGTGTTCCTTGCGCCCACCACGGAACCGATGGCATATGGCGGGTCATAGATGTATGCAGCTGCGTACCTTGGGACCTCTGCACTGGAACAAACCCGAAACTTGTCATTGCCGTCCTCCTTGTGCAAGTAAGACGTCGATCCAGTGGTGCTGCCAGATCCTGCAGTCCGTTGGCCAATATTGATGGCCGTGCCTGCCGGCACACTCAACCCGGAATTCGCTGCCTCGATGTGTGGGCTCGTGTGCGCTTGGAGGTAGTAGCCCACGTTGTCGACACCCGTGGTGCCGATGTTATCCAACCAGATGGCGTGGCGGTTCATGCCGATGCTGCCTGCACCGAAGATGCACAACCACAGCAAAGCATACTGGAACGGCAGGGCGCACATCACCACCTGTTTGATGGTGCATCCGCGCAAGATGCGTGCCATGAAATTGCCGACGAAAGAGGGCCAGCACATCCACCAGTCCCAAGCAATCCACCAGTTCCAGCAAAAGCGGGGCCGCCAGTTCATCCACGAAGGATTGGCGCCCTGGCCGTCATTCGACCGCCACTCTCGCAGAGCCATTTGCGCGAATGTTTCGGTGTCGAAGGCAAACGCGATGAAGTGCAGGCCGATCACGTTGAGGATGTACCAGGGCCCATCTAAGGCGGACGCAAACAACATCACCGCGCTGCCGCATACGAGGGCGCTGTAGGAGACCGTCTTGATTCCCAACTCCGAGCCTGCCGCGACCGAGAGCGTGGCACAGACCATGATTCTTGGCGACTCCATTCCCCGCAGGGCCATGAAAGGAGTTCTGGGGGCTTCGCAATCTGCGCTCGTGCAGTGTTCGAGCCCCTTAAGTCACACACACACACACACACACACACACTTGCCAAGATTGCTGATACTTTGAGTGGGATTGTTGTAAGTACTGACCTTGGCTAATGCACAACACCATTTTTGTGATCAGCCCCAGATGCCCAAAACAGACCTCGGCTCAGGAAGCCCGCCTCGCATGAGCCGCGGAGGTGGGAAGTTTTGCGAGGGCTGTAGTAGGAGCAGGACTAGTAATATAAGTGTGACAGCAATAATGCTCTAGCCACGGACAGGAAATGGTAAAGTGGCAATGCAGTAGCGAAGAGCAACTAGAATAGCAAGAGCACGAAGGCAACTGGATGACCTCCTTGCCGAGCTTCGCCAGGCAGGGGCACTCGCCTTAGGTCCGCTTGAGACGCTCTGCCTTCCCTTTCAGGAGGCCGAGGAGCTCTGGTGCCGCGCGGGCGGGGACAGCCTGAGCGAGGGTGGGCAAGAGACGCCCGAGCTGAAGGCCTGGCCTGGCCGGTGGCGGTTGTGTTGGGAAACTGGAGCCTGGAGCCTGGAGCTTGCTGTGCCGATCTGCCCAGGCCCATGAGGAGGAGTTCTGCTCGATTCTTGGACGCACTGTTTGGTGACTCTGCCCAGAATTCCTGGAGGTGCATGGCACGGTAGAAACTCGAGTTGACAGCATCTTAAAGCACCCCTCATCTGAATAGCTTTGCGTGTCATCTTGGCCAGCTCCGAGGCGCATTTTGGCGGAGACCCTCCGCTCGATGCTGGACAGCGAAATTGGCCTAGAGCCGGACTGACCCGAGTCTGCTACAAGTTCCTCATACTCATGAACTTTAAACTGAAGTTACGTGGCTTGCAACCTTCGTCCATGCTTTGAAGCAGTGCACTGCGCTGCCTGGGCCTGGGCTTTGCAAGATGTGAGTGGTGGTCTTTGCTTCCCATGTCAGGAGCCGGTCCCCGAGAGGAAGGCCGACCTCAGCGACGTTCGGAAGAAGGCCCCGAACTTTCAAAAAGCGGATCTCCTCGGCCCAAGCCTGGACCATAGCCAGGATGCGCCAAAGGAGGACGACCACCACGGCCTTCGGGAGCTGGGTCGCGCGCAAGAGATTCAGCAACGGCTCGTTGAGGCTGGCCTTTGGGCAGGGAGGTGGGTTGAGAGACTTCAAGATCCCGTCACGCAAGGCTCAGGGAAGTCAACCGAAGCCAGTTATATGTTGGCACAGTACTTCGCAGCAGCAGCAGCAGCCAGGGTGTCTGTGGAGGTTGGATCGGCAACATAGCGCCTACTGCCACACGCCCAATACTGCTTCAGGAAATTTCATGGTTTATACCAGTTTGTGCTGGTCAGGTACTTTGCTTGAACTAGCCGCTTGTGGTTGTGCATGCGAGCAGGACGCTTCACAGTATTGTCGTGTGTGCAGGCCAGGCAGCACGTAGGAAGTCTTTAAGATCATTCTTGAGCTATGGTTCCCTCGGTGGCTGTTTGGTTCCCTGTTTTTTCGAAGACTGGTTCCAGTTCGTGTCAAAATATGCTCCCGGCGTTTCTTGTTTTGGTCCGGTCCATCACTTTATATACGTTCTTTCACTAGATTTCCCAGTCCCCGGGGCCCGTAGCAAGCTTGAATTTGCGCCGGGTTTCTCAATTCTCAATTCTCGTGAGTAGGCTCAAGTGTTCTCGGACAGTCTCCCAAGACGAGTATTCCCAAAGTTCTCAGCATGTCAGAGCATTCAGAGGTTTCTTTGTTTGCTGCGAGGCCAACCTCCACGCGGACAAACCACAAAGAGTGCTAGTCGCAGCATGCGATGTGCTGCAGGACTGTGAAGTCGGGGCGTGAGCTGTAGCTGTGTAGCTGCGACTTTTTCCTTGGAGCTGCCGAAAGCCCGAGAGCTGCAGGACTTGCAGACCTGGCCGGTGCCCGACCAGCTGCTTCCGTGCCCTCGCCGAAGAAGTGGAGAGACAGAGAGGGAGAGGATTTTATCCAGACTTGATGCGCGAGGCCCGAGCTGGCCAGCGAAGCCGAGGCTCGGGGCCGGGGATGCCAAAGCGCTTTTGGTTCTACTCGGCTTCGGTTGAGTCGTTGAGGCCTGGGCCCCGCTCTACGGCAACCTGTATCCGCAGAGCCCACCGTCGCGGCGACGCTCCGTGCAAGACGGCTTCGCCACGCCGGAGGAGTGCAGGCCAGGGCTGCCTGCGGTTACGGCTCCAGTGGCTGAAGAAACGCTCGGCACCTGCCAGGGATGCTTGCGGCTTCTGCATCCGTGTGGGCCGCAAAGAGTGAGAGAGATGCTCTGTCATTACAACTTCCGCTCTGTGCTGTGCTTTCTATGAAGCATTTAGCCAGAAAATTAAAGAAAGACTGAGGTGCCATGTGCTGCATGTTTCGGCGCGGCGGTCAGACCTCCTTGGCCGTGGGACCCTCCCTGGAGCGGCGCGTGGGCGCCAAAGGCGCGGAGTTGCTCGGCGAGCTGGTGGAGAGGAGCGCGGGGCTCCAACCTAAGATCGCCACATCTTTTCGTTCGGTTCTTTGTCGTTTCTGGGCAAACGCCGGCGTAGATTCAGATGGAGTGGAGACTTTGGTGCCTTTTGGAGGACTCGCCGCAGGATCTCCGCAGACGTCGGTCTGCTGGACCCGGACAAGGCCGAGCTGCCTTTGATAATCGTGGCGGTGGTGATGGATGCTGATGCTGTTGCGTAGCTTGTGGTGGTCGCGCTGGTGGTAGTGCTGGGCACGATTAGTTTTAAGTCAACTGTACTTGTTGGTGATGCAAAGGTTCAGGATACTGCAACCGATTCTTGTGATGAGGGTCATGAACAACCGGAAGATTGAGTTGCTTCTTGAAGGATGATTGGCGATCTAGCCAACACAGCTCTGCACGTGGAGAGAAGCTACAGAACTATGAGTGGAGCCCCTGCCCCGCTTCAGTGAGCCTCCAAGTGGCACACGCACTGCCGCATGGCAGGGTGAGCCCCTGCTCTATGAGTCTGGGGCACTGCTCACCCGATTGCAAGCCGACTGGGACAAAGACATGTGGGATGTCAGCTCCGGCGAGGAGCATGCCTCTTGATGTGGATAGAGCTTTTCAGGCTTCCTTGAGGCTAGGGTGCGTTATGTCTTGGCTTCGGACAAGTCCCATGTTTTTTTCGGAGGTTTAGATCAGGAATGTGTAGATGTGGACACGGCATGTGAATGCCTTAAAATGCCCTTCAGACCCCTAGACTCAGTTAACATGCGTTGAGCCGATATTTTCAGTTAAAGGCCGGGGAATCCGTGTCGACCGCTGTTCATGTTCTAAAAGAGAGGCATTATCCTTCGAATTACTTCTTCCCTTGCTGCGTATACGCCAGTACAACGTTGCTGCAGGTAGACTCTTGGCAGAGAAGAACGGAATCCCTTGAGTGAGGAGAACGATGCATCTATTCCCGTGTCTAGGGCTGCGTAGTAGCGGTCGCACATAAGTTTTCGTAACAAAGACGGATATTCTGCTTTCGATTGGTAGTTCCAGCAGGTTTTGGGGAGAATTTGGCCGTGCTGAGGTGTATTGGAATGCCCATGTCGACAAGGCCGAAGCCGAAGCGTTTGATTCCCTCGGGCATTGTCTGCGAATGGCACGGAACAAGAAGACTTGTCAACAGACAGCCGTAGAATCTGGAGGCCAATGTGGCATCGTACGACTACGCAGCCTTGCTTTACTTGAACACGCAGGGGGAGCACTTCGAAGGTGGCGACTTTGCCTTCGTGGACGCAGGACACGGCAGAGTACGAAACTGCCAGCACAGGCATCAATACTCAATCATGACTGCACTTCGACTTCAAAATAGGTTGAGCTTGGAGGGAGTGACCCGACAGTTGAGGGAAACCTCCTCACGAGCACAGACGTGCCCGGAAAAGCCCGAAGACCGGCACCGAAACCCGGTTCAATTCCGCATTCATCGTTTAGATCCTCCAAGCTTCCGCGCCCTCATCGATCCTACTCGCAACCAGTGTCAATGCATCCGCAAGGACAAGCGCAGCATATCCCTGAAATCCATAGCTGCACTTCGTCTTAAGCCGAGCCTCAACGCCCGCTTAGGGGTCTAGGGCCACCTGTACGTGGAACTTTAAGGCTAGGTAGGGTCCAGGGTTTAGGGTGTAGTTATGGGGTTCAGGATGGTTTGAAAGCTTTAGGGTTCAAGGTTTATGGGTTTTAGGGTTTCAGTAGACATCCTTTGGAGGAGAGGATTGCCTCGTCTGTCCAAAGAGGGGCCGGCTGCTGGCGTTCACCGCCGGCCCTGAGAACCTCCACCAGGTCGGTCCTTGGGCGTGGAAGACTTGAAAAGTCGAGGGCTTTAAGGAAGTTTAGAGGTTTGTTGAGACAGCTTCGGGGCCTTCGGCCTTTGGAGGTTTTGGGGGTTGGGAGGGGTTGGCATCCCCTGGCAAGGTGAGGAAAGTGACCTCTGGAACTCGCTTTGCTTCGGGCTCAGGCGTGACGGGCAGGGCTCCCACTCTGTTATTCCACCACGCCGAGGTGCTTGCAATGTGGTTCACGCTCTCGGCCGCGCATCAGAGAAGGGACTGAGGTCGGAGTCTCAGCTTCTCCGAGTACTTGGCAAAGAGCTCGGTCTCTCCGTTTGACTTTTGCAGGTGACTTGGGAGCGCTCCCGAGCTTTTCTGCCTGAGAGCCTCGGAGCCTGTGGCGCCTGCAGAAAAGGGCCTGTTCACCTGCCAGCTCGATGTGGTTGCTTGTTTATCGCTGATGCACGCGCGTGGGCTGCGGTGCCGAGGAGCTCATCTCACAGCTGTCCGAGCTGCAGCACGCGACGGATGCGGAGGGTCGGCCCAGAATTCGAAAGGCTCACAGAGGGTGCCTGCTGTTTTCAACTTTACGGCGCGACTAGGAGGAGTCCCGAACAAAAGCAAACCTGCCTTCCTGGAAGGCTGGCTTCCTGCTTGACGGCCACAAGGGGACCGGGAAGAGCCAAGTCGCGGCCCATCGGAGCACGCGGACTCAAGACCTGATGCACGGAGTTCTGCTGCGAGGTCTTGAACCTGCTCACCATGTGGGCACGCAAGAACGGTGTGGCTGGCTCGATTGCCGCACGGTGATCACAGTTGGCGAGACATGCTCACACGCTTCGGACGCAGGTTGGCTGGTGGTTCTGGAGCCAACGCCGGGACGGTATGCACGGGAGATCGCGGAGATCAAGCGATCGAACAACGGGGTGCGCGGCCAGTGCGGGGCCTGTAAGTCCAAGCACTCCTGCCCGCAAGCGCAGGTCTACATCCAGTCCGAGTTCGCTCAGCAATTCTTGGAAGCCTTGTCGCTTGCAAACCGTCACATGCTGGAGGTTCGCCATGGACGAACTTTCGTGTGAAGCTCTTTGAGACGCTTGCTTGCAGGAGATTCCGGTTGACACCACGGCCTACGGGTCCAGGGGGATCGATGGTGAATCACAACAGGCGCATCACGAAAGTTCCGGTCATCGCATCACTTTAACATGCGGCTAAAGATAAGCATTGATGGTCTTGGGGTTCCAGGAGATGTTGAGTTTTGATCTGACGGTGTGGTGAGTCGCCAGAACGATGCACCCAAAACCTGAATCCGAAGTCATCCCAAACCCGGTCGAAAACGTGGATTTTGCGCGCACCTCAGCCACAAAATCGCTCACCATAAAGTGCTAGTCAGTTGTAGCGGGAAGGGGGTCGTCTTGCTCCCGGTGGCTTGGACGCTGCACTGGTTCTATGAGCCTTATGGTTTCGAGCTTTGGGGGCGGCCCAGCAAGACAACGCCCGGTACCCTGGTACTCTTCTCGGAGAACCTGAAGCGTCTGAAAGCCCCGCCTTCGCGGGTGATTTCATGCAGGGCACCTCCCAGCGATGTAGCTGCAGCATACGTCGCAGCGCTCCAAACCTGAGCCCTCACCCTCAACCCCACCCCGACACATGCCGCACTGCCGCACCCCTCAAGCGCCCAACGGCCAACGGCAGCCATGTCTGCTGCGCGCCCTTTGCCACTTGGCCTCCGGGAGCCTGTGCTGGCGATGGCCCCGATGGTGACTCAGAGCCCGCCGGCAAGGACAGTTCGGACTTTGGGGCCTGAAGGTTTGAGGATGGTGGGCTCTTGGGGTTCAGGTCAAACGGACTGCCGAAGGAGTTTGAGGGCCTTTCGGTGGATGTCTCCTCTCCTTTCCGACTTTGTCGAGGAACGCTTGCCGTGCCCAGGTGACTATGCTTTCCGCCGGCTAGTGCGCGCGCACGGCTGCACCCTCTGCTATACCGAGATGCTGATGGCCGCTCGCTTCGCTGAGAGCGAGGACTGCATCGCGTTGGGAGGTGAGTTGACCAGGAACTTGAGAGCTGCCGAAGGACTATCGAAGACGGGCTTTCGGATCGGGGGCGGAGACCTCAGAGCAAGGGCTGCCGTCTTACCTCTCAGGATTCTTGCTGTTGGAGCTTCTGTGCCACAGGTGGCAGCGGATGACCATCCGCTCGTGGTGCAGTTTGCTGCCAATGACCCGCAGGTGCTGCTCCAGGCAGTGCTTCATGCGCAGGACCGCAAGACATCACGAGATCAAGTTCATAACGTCTCCAAAGCAGTGCGCCTGCGCTTGTTGGTCTGTGAGGAGCTTGGAGCCGACGCTGTGGACCTGAACTTGGGCTGCCCGCAATGGCGACTTAGACAGCAAGGACTAGGACTAGGACTTGGAACTTCGTTCGCACTACTTGGGGCTGTCGTGGTGCAGTTTCGTAGGTGCTGCAGTCCCTCCCGAGGAAGGCGAAGTTGGGCCGCTTGGCTCAGATTGCGCTTGCCCGGATTCGAGTCAGCGCTGCAGAAGGAAGAACACAAGACGATCCCTTGCTATGTCCAGCCGTCGCGTGAGGCAACTACGGGGCTTGGCTGGCTGCCGACTCGGAGAACTGGCCTTTGATCGAGGCAGCAGCAGTCCCACATGTCACATGTCCCACCACTCACCAGGCCTCAGAAGAAGCAAGGCCGAAATGATCCTGACACATTGGGATGTCGCGTTGTTTTGTTTAACAGCGAGCGGCAGATCCTGTTTGTACCCCTTTTTCTCGGTGAGGACATTCGCCTCTAAACCCTAAACCCCTAAAGGTTCAGCCATCTACTCCAAAACCCTAAAGGAGAACCCGAAGCCTTGTCTTCAGTTTTCCTTACCTTTGGTTAGTAGGGAATGGAGGAATGGGGTAGAATTATAACTACTATTACTACCATTCTTCCATTCCCTACTAACCAAAGGTAAGCTATAGGATCACTAAGGCCCTTATATGATAGTACCCTTATAGATCCCTTATACTAACCCTTATAGACCCCTTTATAAGGCCAGTTTTGCCGGTAAGCCCTAAACCCCTAAACCCCAAACCCTATGGATCCCTTAAAGGATCCCTTTAAAGTAACTTATTCCTAGCATTCTCCGCAGGCCATGGTGGCCTTCTGCAGTCGAGAGCCGAAGGTCAGGATCCCGGTCTTCTGCAAGATTCGGCTGCAGGCCGCGGAGGCTCCAAGTTCTGGAATATTGTCGTATACGCAGATATACGAATCGTCTAGTACAGTAAGTTTATGGTGTAAGAGGAACTATGTCTATGGTAGTATCTTATGGTATGTTGTGTTACAGTATTCTAGAGTTTCAGGTTGTTTGATATTTGATGTGTGCGGAGAGGGATTGGGGTTGAAGTGGCCTTGGAAGTGTCTCATCTCAGCAGAAGCTCGTCGGGGCGGCCAGCCCGTGAATCGATGGATTGGGCTTCCGCTAGGATGCTGGGAGTGGTGCGCTTTCCTCAAGACACACCGTCTAAAGCAGAGCATGAGTTGCAGAGCGCATCAACGGGCAAGCCGGCAGGCTCACACTCTGGATCTTTCCACGCGGCTGCAGCGCGCGGGCTGCGCCTTACTAGCGGTGCACGGACCGACATTTCAAGGGAGTTTTCTCTGAAGAATTGCACCTGAGAAGGTCTGTGTGCGTAGCATGCTTCATCAGCACGAGAGGACGGGAGCAGAGAGAGAAAGCACAAGCGAGCCACAGACAGGACGTCACCTCGAATCCGAGAAAGCCAGGCGTGATGGACCTGCCGACCGAAGCTCAGCGTTTTCTAGGACCTGAGGGATTGACAGAGTGGAGTCTGCACTGGCTCACAAGCGCCGCTAAGCTCTTGTGGTATCCATGTCCCGCCGAGGACCTGCGCGCAGTGGCCAACCTTCGGGCCAAGCTGTCCCTGCCTGTTCTGAGCAACGGACGCCCGTCTGAAGATGGCTGAAGATGATTGAAGCGGTGGTTTTAGGGTTTGGGTTTGGGCTGTTGAGCGGCTTGTTGCTTAGGGCTAGGGCTAGGGTTCAGGGCTTAGGTGGCGCTCCAACTGTAGACTTGGTGTGATCAGCATGATGCACCTGTCTGAATAGACGTGCCGTTGGCAGGCAACGTCAGATGTGCACAGGCCTGGGCAGCGTTTCAATCTGTGGTGTTCCGTTCCTGTGAGAAGTGGCTGACCACTGCAGGGCTTCCTGCTTCATTCGAGTTTAGGGCCTGGCACAGGGTTCGGGGCCTTGAGATTCGCAAGCCGTATCGCATCTCCCAGACGTGCGTACAAAAAGCTGCAGAGGATGTGACGAACAACTTGAAGTTTACTTCTTGTGCCGGACTCTCAGTCGCTCAAAGCACCTTCCAAGAAGCTGCCGGTGCAAAGTTGCCTTTGCTGTTCGCAAGGAAGGCATCATGGTGGCCGAACAGCTGCTTCGCGACCCGACGCTTTTCTCTCGGGTGAAGGGGGTGGAGCCGGCCCCCCTGGAGCTGATTGATGAATATCTCACGCAGCTGGGCTTGCTACCAATGCGTGTAGTCGCAATGCTTGCAGTCGCGGAGTCGTTTCGTACCATTACTTCTGAGGTATTGCCTGGAGCTAGATGGCTCCCAAAGCGGCGAGTGCTTCTCCGTTTGGGATGCTCGCAATGTGGATGTTCTGCGAAACCACCTGAGGCCCGTTTGTTGGGGCTGTGAGGAGCACCCGCAGTCGGATTTGCGTGAAGTTGCAGACGTGACCTTATGAGAGCCCTTCGGGGCTGCTACAGTAGCTGCTCATCACACCCGACAAGCCCAAGGTATCCCATGAAGAAGTTTCAACACCCCGGCGCTTTCGAAAGTCCCTCCTGGCCCTGGAGGTCCCTTCTCGTCGGCGCCGTGGGCACCGCTGAGGCGGAGCCCGGCACCCAGCATCTCATCACGGCGCCCCGCGCGAGGACGGCGGCCAGGCGCTGCCTGGGATTGGAGGTTTAGGGTGGTTGGATGTGGTTTGTGTGCTGGGGTTCCAGATTGGGCTTTGGGTTGGAGCACCTGTGGGCTTTCAGTGTTTCATGCACGAAGTAGTTGCAGAGCATCTTCGAACTACTCATGAGATCACGCAACAAGATCAGAGGATCATGAGCTGTTGAAAGCAACAGGTTTATCTTGGATTGGTGGCGCATCCAGCAGGCAGGGGCGGAATGGAGCAATCCCCAATTTCTGCACATGCTCTGCAATCCCAAGGGGCCTTTGTTGATGTAAGCCGGCCTGGAAGGCTAAGTCGGTCGAGGACGCTGTGATGCGCTACCGAGAGCGTTGTCACACCATCCAGCCGTGTGCAGAAGGAAAAAAGACCAGTGTCCAGTGCATGTCTGTGCATCCTTGTCACAAACAGCAGGGCATCGTGCCCAAACCTCCCCGGGCTGCAACAGGTGACCCGTCGACTGTACGAGCCCCTGATCGAGAAAACCGTGGACAGAGAGGCACGACCTGCTTCCAGCGCTACAAGGTTTTTCTCGCGTGCACATTGAGCACGCCGCAGGGGTGTTGCTGGTCCAGACATGCAGAGGGTGCTGCCGGAACATTGCTAGAACCAGCAGTTTATAGTCTTCCAGTTTTCAGTTAAACCAGGTCCACTACATGTTTCCACCATTCTAGGACGCTGCACTCGGCAGCAGGTCGATGCGCAGAGCCTCTCGGGACCTGAGCGCTTGCAGCGCATCGCCGAGTCACTCTGCCACGCTTCTTACAGGATGCATTTGGCGTGTGTGAACCTATCTTTGCGAAACCTAGCCTGGTTTTGCACTGTGCATTTGATTGCACACGACGTACAAATGTCTTGCACAGCGCGAATCATTAGAGTTTTTGAGTCTTGTGCCTAGAAGTCCTAGGCAGTCTAAAGAAGCATCCGCAACGGATTCACATGACGTCTATTGGCACAGGAGATTGTAGCAGGATGACATTCTGCAGGGAGCATCCATTTGTGGGCTCCAGCTAGCCTCTCTCTTGGCAGCCTGCTGTGTGGTTCCTGTATTTCATGTCAAGAAGTGTTTAGTTTCGTCCAGGGTGTTTTTCATTCAAGTTACACGTCGGAGCAGCTGCGTTTATAGGCTGCCCGAACGGCTTTTTCACATCGCTTCATCTGAGCTTACTAGTAGGCTTGCAAGGTTTTGGTTGTGTCTGTGTGCACCAAAAAGCAGCAGAGAGGATCATCGGAATCAATTTGATACCGGACTGGTATGGTCTCAGCATCCGCGTGCGACCGCATCCCTGCAGCCACCTATGCAAGCTGCAAAGCCACCTGCAAGACACGAGAAGTCACGGTAGGTATGATGGCCAGGTCCGAATTGAACTCTCTGTTTCCTGCTCAAAGCACACCGCGTGCTTTGGAAGTGTAATCTTCGCACGGACTTCGGTGCAAGCGAGAGAGACTCTTTCAATTTCCAGCCGGACAGCCAATGAATCTCGAGCGCTCGGGTTTTGCTCGACCTGCGGTTGCACATCACACAACAACGCCCTGCCGGCCGTGATGTATTAAGGGTTGAAGACTCGCACCGGACGATCTTGGCCCTTCGTCAAGCAGACTGTGACAGCATGGCAGGTACCGTCGGCAAGTTCGCATCCCATCGTTTTGGTCCCAGCGTGTTTCTGTCAGAGTTGAAGCCTTGATTACATCACAGTTTGCGGCTGCCCACCTCTGCCAGTGTCTTCTTCGGATTGCAGATAATGAGGATGGCTGATGTGCTGAAGCCGCAGAACGTATGGGAAATCGTGGACTTCGGCTTGGATAATGAGCAATATGCCGTCCAGGCCTTTCTTGCATGTAGGGCGGGCGCGCCTTTGTAATACCCCCGTGCCTCATGTTGTTTCAGGCGCTGTGGCAACGGCCGGCCGCATCTTGCTATTGCCCAGCAGCCACCGGCCAGGCAGTTGCAGAGACCTTCGTGCAGCTACAGCGACAGACGACGCCTGCAGCCGAGTCGTTTGCCTACGTCTGAGCCTCATGCTGTGACGTCTTGACATCCGGCGACTGCGCAGGCATCCTGTTGCTGTCATCGTGGATGACTGGAACGAGTGCTTCCCATGTCAGGGGCTGAGGCTGAGGGGAGGAGGTCAGCGAAGAGCGAACCGGCTTCAAGTCTCTTTGGGACTCAGGTTCTGAGTACGTGTCAATCCGATACGACAACACTCGGCCGGGCACTCGCTAGCCATCCGAGGGGCTCTGCTGATCTGCTTGTCACAAGTCCTGCGATACGCAGCGGCAGCCACAGCAATGTAAGAAGAATGAGAAGAGTATGTGATGGTACTGCGCACTGTCGGCAATGCTTCTGTGTCTACATCGATTTACAAAGTCCTCAAAGCATAGCAAGCATTCGCAAGCGCCACGCCAGCTTCCAGCCGACCGAAGGTTCAACGGATACATACCTTCCTACCATCTGTCGATGCCGAGAGCGTTCCATCGTCTGGACCCCGGAGCGCTAAATGGTGGCCTTCCGATTGTTGACTCATGATGACGAGGCTGGGACGGTCACAAGTTTCGGTGTGGCGCCTGGCACTGCACCTTGCAAGATTTAGGGATCCATTCATGCGGAACACGAGGCGTGGGGTGAAGATCTGCGCCACCTCGTGGATGCGTTACAAGCGTCGTGGCCTGAGAGGAGTGAAATCGTCTCTGGGGGGAAGCCCTTTCTTGCCCTTGACTCCTTGCCTTCCTTGCCTCTGGTCGCGCTGCCGCTGGGGGTCAGACTGCTGCAGGTCGGCAATACCGCCCTGAGCTGCTGGGAGTGCGCGACTTCGAGATCAGGATGCCCTGAGCTATGGCGCAGAAGTGGCGAGCTGTCGTATCTCAGAGACATTTTCGGCAGGACAGTGCGAAACTTTACGCAGCAGGAGTTTGCAAACTATGTTATGCACCTCGAACGGATTGCTTTCTTGTGCACAGGTGTCAGATAGGCCTGTCCTGTGGCTGGAGGTATCTTCGCATCATGGGGGTCTTGCACTGCTTCCCTGCGAAGGCCTGTGGTTGCGGGCCCTCTTCGACCTAGGAAGTTCAGATCTAGTCCCGTCATGCAGGACCTGGAGTATTTCTACATGATGACCCAGGGCAATGGTGCCTCGGCAGATTTGAAAGCTGGTGCCCCGTCCACATAGCTTCAAGGAAATGAAGGTGAGCTTCTGCCTGAGGTTGGCAAGCACGCAAAGTTCTCTCCACCCTTTACTGATGCGGCTCAGCATCTTTAGGCGCCTGGGAGGCCCGACTGCGAATCACGCAGCCGGCTCCGAGCGAAGGCGAAAAATGGGGCTTTGTCTCCTTCTAACGCCGCCTGCAGTGCACCTGTCAGTCAGGCGAAGCCTAGGGATAGTTCTTCCACGGTTTGCCAGTATGTGTAATGTAGAAACCTGATTAAGAAACCGTGGGCCTATAACCCCAAAACAGTGGGGTTCACATAAGAAACCCTACTACCCTAATAATTAAAGTCCCAAGGTTTCTTAATCAAGTTTCTACATTATGACGAATGAAGCGTGGCCTCTGAGCTAGTGTTGCTCTGCAGGGCTCGGCTCAAGCCGGCCAGGGCCAATTAGTTTCATGCTAAAGACAAGAGATAACAAGAGTGTGGAAATCCTTACAAGCTCCGAATGTCACTCCGGAAAGGAGTGCCTTTAAACCTGTTGCAAGAAGGGTCAGCTGTGTAGTTATTGCGCGATCTTGTAAGTACGGGCAGAAAAAGTCGATGCAGGACGCAACCCATGTCTACGTGATCTCGTAGACAGTTCTTTCCGGTTCTTCACCCCCCCACTACTGGAGGGAATCATTCTAAGCTGAAGATGTTGCGGTCGTCCGGGGACGATGCCAGGCCGCGGGATTGGGTAGCAGTTCCACGTGACGAGTTACGTTGCCTGCAAATAGTCTGCTGCTGCTTTCAGTGCTGTCGCCATTCTCCTTGAGTTCCGTCATTCCGTCAAGAGGAAGGAGGCTTTTTTTCAGTAAGTGTTTCGGGACCCTTTGGCCGCGTCCCTTTTTCTCGCGTCATTCTGCTTCTTTCTCGTGCATCTCATGCGCTGGCAGAGTTTTGCATTGGAGATGAGCACCTCCGTCTTCCAGAGAGTCGAGCTTGAGTTGAACACCCTAACCTAAACCCTACAGGAAGCCCTAAACCCTAAACCCACAACCCTACACCCTAAACCCTGAACCGTCAGAGAAGAAGTGTCGAACCGTTCCAGGCATCCACGCAGCTGCCAACAGCAGCGGCAGCTCAGGCCCGGAGAGACCTCCGGTCACGACTGCCAAGCATCAGATACCAGAATGTAGCCTCCTACAGTGTAATGTAATGTAATATAATATGGTATAAAGTAGTGTAAGGTAAGAAGTGTGTGATCTAGTGAATCTAGTGTGTAAGTGTAGTATAGTGTAATAGAATATCAATAGTGTTACAGAATGTAATAGAATGCAGTAGTAGAATCTAAATAGAAGAAGACCAGCCAGGGCCTCTTGGCGTCTTGGTCACCGACTCCGTGGCCCCACCGGCTCAAACACTGCACAGACGGTAATTACAAGATGTCCAGTGCTACTACATATTACTACATGGCACGCAACAAAGGTCCAAGTCCAGGGAGAGCCAGTTGCATCGGAGGATTTGAAGGCCTTCATCACGAGCTCTAGCGACATAACAACGCACCTAGGAAATTAGAAACTCGTAGAACGCTCCAAGGGTCAGCGCTCGCCCCTGCGACTTGCCCATGTTGTCCTTGTGTGTTCCAGTGTCTTCAGGGACAGGTTTGGTAACTTGGGCCTCTTGTCGTGCTGTCGGGTGTAGGTCAGCCCGGACTCTCAATTGTCGGCATCCAAATCTGCGCAAAGAACTGCAAGCGGAAGCCGAAAGCACCCGCTGTCTCCACGTTTTGCTGAGGACATGGGATGGCACCTCGGAGTGAGTTTGGGGACCATCCTTCGAAGTTCAATTAGTGTTGCTATCGGGATCTAGATCTCGGGCCATCCTGAGTCTGGCTGCCTTCAAACTGCGGCGCCTCAGACGTCTCGAGTTCCCCTCGTCCGAGGCGCTCACAAAGGCAGAGCAGGAGCAGCTCAAGCGGCTCATCGCAGGAAGGACGCAGGAATCAGAGGAGCCGGCCTTAGGCTTTAGGCAGGTCCCAAGCCAAGCGTGACGTATCCCTGAATGATAGTATGAAGACGACCGATCTTTGAGGAGTCGCGGCCGAAGAGGCGATTTGTGAGCTCACGGACGAAGACCATGATGTATCTTGGGCCTGCTGTTAGGGTTGGGGTGTCGGTTTGTTTGGGCCTTGGTGCATGCCAAGGCTTCTCGCTTCCCTTGTTCGGGCCGCGTGGTAGCTCTCTTTCCAAGATGCTCTTGAAGCAAAGGCTCCGCAGCCCGATCGATGTCCGCGATCTCAGCTTTCGGCTGTGGCTCGGACGAACTCGGGGAGCGACTGCACTACCTGGACATGCCAAACCCCCGCTTTGTTGTGGACCTCAGTATTCAGACATCATCCCTGTGCGAGGGTTCTAGGTCATTTTTTCTCTTCCTGTGGAGACTCGACTCAAAAGCTGCCGCAGGCAGACATTTCCCTTCTTCTCGAACTCGCACCGAGATTTCCTGTCCCTGCTTTCCATGGAGCCTTTCGGATGCAGGGAGAAAGAGAGGAAGACAGAGTGATAGAATCTGATAGAAGGATCGAGAAAGAGCGCTCGGCCTCGGCATTGTGAGGCTGGACATTCGCATCTTTCATCCTGGTCAAACCATCTTGCGAGAGAGCGAGTACGGCGAGATGACGTATATCTTGGTGCACGGCGAGGCAAGGCCGCAGTCCGCAGTCGAGCCGCGTCCTGTTATGCGTTAGGCGTCGAGAGGCAACTGCAAAGGCTTCGCAGTAGGCACAGGCAGAGCATGACATAGCTGTATGCTTGCTAAAGTGCATGAGTGAGCCGTCTCTCCCGTAGCAACCTCTGGCCCACGCTCGTTCCGCACTGAGCCGCTCTGCGGAAAGCATGGCACAAGAAGGGACCGCGACAAAAAGCCCGGAGCTCAGCATGGGCTCTGTGCGACGTCTGGCTGCTGCTGCACTGCTCCCAGAAGAAGCAGCAGGCGCTGCAGGCGCTGCAGCTGGCCCCATCCGGGTTCAGGTGCTCTGTCGGAAGCCAGCCCGTGAGGGAAGCAAGGATCGGCGCACAGCTCTGCGGATCTCGGACGGCTGCCACCACATCCTTGCGGTGTTGGCCGAAGACATCAAGGATCCACAAGAGGGGAGCGTTATCGAGCTGCTGGAGTGGTCCTGCGGGATGCACGAGGGCATGCAGGCAGTCTTTGTGGAGGACTGGGACCAGACCTCGACGGAGTGCTTGGGAATCTTAGGGCAGCCGGTGGGGGTCCCGCTGGAAGTCCCACAAACCAGCGCCGCACAAACCAGTGCCTTTGAGGCTCCGATAGCTGCTGCAAAGTGCCAGCCCTTGTGTGAGAAACCGAGACCTGTTGCCAGCCCCATGCGAAACCAGAGCCAAGCCAGTTTCCATCGAGACACGCTGTCTCTGGCATCCCCGCACGCAGTGGCTGCCATGATGCCTGCCTCTGCATCCTTACCAGTCGTGCCGATTGCGCAGCTCAGTTCCTTCATGCAGCGTTGCCGAGTGATGGTCCGTGTGCTGAGTAAATCAGAGATGAAGACGTTCAACAACGCGAGGGGGCCAGGCAAGCTATTCTCCGTGGATCTCATGGATGCGGCGGGCGAGTGTGTCCGTGCAGCTTGTTTCAATTCAGCTGCAGACAAGTACTTCGGAATGTTGCAGATCAAGAAGACCTATGACATCAATGGTGCATCAGTCAAGCCTGGAAATCCGCGATGGTGCCGGTACCCCTTCGAGCTCACAATCGAGGACCGTGGGACGTCCGTCGTGGCATTGCCAGAAGATGGCTCCATACCACCAATGCCATACAAGTTTGTGCCACTTGCGAGCTTGGGAACGTCTCCGGCAGGCAGCTCTTGCGATGTCATGGGTGTGGTGCACTCTGTGGAGGAGCCAGTCAGCATCGCGACTCGAAATCAGGGGCCGCGCCAGAGGCGACAGTTTCTGATCGTTGATAACTCGCAGGCTTCAGTGAGCGTGAGCCTCTGGGGAGAGAAGGCTGACATTCAATTCGGAGTGGGCTCGGTGATCTTCATCCGGAATGCTAAAGTCAGTGACTTCTCCGGCCGCAGCCTCGACCTAAACGCCGGCAGCTTCCTGGAGGCCAACCCGGATGACAAGCGCGCCTTTCAGCTCCAGGCCGCTCCCGGGGCTTGGAGCTTTTTCTGTCTTTTTTGGAAGGAGCGCGCGTGTCTTTAAGTGATAGTTTTGTTGTGTTGGGTCGTGTGCCCAGCTCCAGGCGTGGTACCAAGGCGGCGGCAAGAACGAGCCAGTGCGATTCACGCTGACGACAGGCCAGTCCTCGGGCAGAGGCCGTAAGAGAAGCCTTGCGGAGATGCAGCAGGAAGACGGAATGCTCCGCCTGCAGAGCGACGGAAGCGAGAAGGCCCACACGGTCCACTACCACCGGGTCTCGCCCGTGACCGTCACAGCAGTTCGAAATGAACGTGCTCCTTTCTATTGGGGCTGCACGCAGGAAGTGATGGGAATGGAATCGAAGCCTCGAATGTGTAATAAGAAGGTTGAGAATGGCCAGTGCGCCGGTGGCCACATCTGTCCTGAGCCGGTTGGCGCCTGAGCATTTTCTCTGAGGATCTCGTTTTATCCTTGTAAGACTCTGTCACGCATTGCCTTGTTGCCGACATTGTGTCCGCAGGATCGTAAGCATAGAAAGTTCAGACAGATGAACTGAATTGCCTTGCCTTGAATTGTCCGGATGTGTTTGCAAGGCTGCCCGCTTCAATCTGAACCTCACCTTGTCAGATGCGACTTCTTCAGTCAGATGCCGGGCCTTCGGAGAGCCGGCAGAGATGCTTGCGGATGTTCCCGCCTCTGAGTTTGCCGTGTTGGAGAACGAGCGCTTGACGGGTAGCATCCATGCAGAGAAGACCTACACGCGGATTTTCTCCAACATGCTCCGACGATGGTCTCTCACGCTTAAGTGCAGGAAAGAGTGCTTTGAGGGTCGCGAGCGGGTACAGATCTCGGTGGAGAATTGCTCCCCGGTAGACTTCGTGTCGGAGGGCAAGGAAATGGCTGCAGCAGTGCGTCACGCCCTGGGCATGTAAAGGGAGAGCATGGCGTACCCCCCAGATGTTGATTGAAAGGAGCCTGGGGCGGAAGTACAGTAGTAGTCGTAGTGAACGCTCGAGTCTGAGGCTCGGGCCACTACATAGTCAGCTTTCGGAAGTGAAGCCACTTCAAATGATGCTATTCTCTCTTAGGTTTCAGAATTTGAGCAGATCCTATGTTGCGACATGTTGCTACGTGAATCGCAGCACGGTTTCAGGAAGGGCAGGGTGCGCTGACGAGGGTAGGCCCAGCAATCCTGCTCTTCGGGTCTCATGGCCCTGACATGATCTCACCGCAAGGGAAAAATGAGAGGGAGGGCCCCGTCGAGCCTAATGAACAGGCTTCCGAGCTTCCGAGAGCTGAGTGCATCTTTTGCAGGTAGAGGTGGTCACGGAGTCCATGCCCGAGGCTCCCAAAGCATGGCCGACTTTGCAGGGCGTCTGGATGTCCGAGGGCAGAAGCACAAACCGAAGACCTGCAGTGTGAGTGGAATGCACCCGCCGACTCGATCTGCGTAATATAGGGGCCTGAATAATTACCTGTACGATTTGGGGGGTTCCTTATTGGAATTACAGTATAATGGGCTCCGAAACCGTATTCCAATTATGAAGGCCCCTATATTGAACAGCTTGAGATCTGTCCAGGGCCATCCGCCCATCCGAATGCGGGCCCCGTCCATCTTTGGCGAGAGTCCCCTGCTTTTGGGGGCCCCTGCCAGGCAGTGAGAAGGGTACGGCAGCAGCTTTGGAAGTATGCGGATCGTGGGGATTTTTACCTGTGCGAACACTACTCTTTTGCTATTGGTTGCGAATGCTGGCCGCCTTCTCCGTATTCTTCCTCCATCCGACCTTAGTACTGAAGTAGGTGCTGCTTTGCAATGCTTTGCGAGGATGTCTGCTGTTGCTTGCACTGAATTGCATGTAGAAACACCTAGCTGCATGCCCACATACATGCATGTCCATGCAGCCACGTACATATCTCTGCAAGGGTTTGTTGCTGCATGCATCTCCGGTATTTACGGCTTGGGCATGCTTGGGCCATGTGAGGCGGACGGCCACGATTATCGCAAAGGCCGCGGGCTTGGGCTGGACAATGTTTTAGGACCCGCTACGGAAGAGGTCGAGGGTTGAAAAGTGCGGTCAGGGTATGTCAGGGTGTAAAAGAATCTTTCTGAGGTAGAGCAGGAATACTGCATTCGAAGAGTTTCAGCTGCCGATCGAGACTGCTGAACTTGGGCCAAGGCCATTTGCGACGTGCGTATGATCCACCAGCGCATCTTCAATCAGTTGAGCCTCGCCTGAGAAAGCATGCACCGGTCAAGATGGATCACCCCTGTCCCATAGAAGGCTAAACTGCAAACACTTGCTAGCCGCTTCATTGGGGGCTTCAATCAGATGTTTCACAACTCTTCAAGGAGCCGTCATACCAAAAGCGGGCGAGTCTCATGCCTCGATCCATCTTTATTCTGCACTATACTACACTCGAGGCTTAGCCACTTTCCTTCGGAGAGGGTCGTCTACCGAAAGATGGCGAAGGAACGCTACGGGAAGAGGCGCCCCGGCACGTTTGGTTTGGGGATTTGGGGTCCCTGGCCTTGAGGGCCAGTCCCCTCGCTATGCTATACTATACGACACTATACTATACTATGCATTCTGTTCTATAACTCTCTCTCTCTCTATGTTGTTGTGCTTTATAGATAATATGACATGTTTCTATATCTGTGCATATATACATACATGTGCATATGAATATTTATCTAGTTATAGTATTAACCATGCACCGTTACATCGTGTTTGATAACATAATATCATATTGGGTCGTAGTAGAACAATATAATACATTGTATTGTATTGTGTTACACTTCATCATTTCATGCATTATCATAGTTTGTTCTGTTATGTTATGTTACATGATTTTTTGTAAATTTATTTGGTTATGCAAGTAGCGTCTACGGTCATATTACATCGTGCCGTGCAACGTTATGTTACATCATATCACACATATCAAATATTTTTTTACTAATGTCATGGTACATTGTTGTTATGCGTGTTTGAAACATGCATGCATGTAGTTGGAGTGTGGCGCGTACACGCGCGTGTAGTTTTTGCAGGTCTTTGCACGTTTTGCGGCTTCGGGGGGTGGGGGCGGGGTGGGTGGGGGTGGGGGGTGGGGGCTTAATGACGAACCTGTTCTACTCTTAGCAGTTCTACTACTGCTGATGCCTGCTGCTTTTTAGTGCTTTGTGTTCAGACTAGCTCTACTACTGCTGATTCTTAAGGCCCCTAAATCATAGACCCGTGTGTTCTAGACCCCTTCTAGAACCTGTTCTAGGACCCCTTGACAAGGAACCCCTATTCTAATTGTTAAGGCCCCTTATATCCATACATCCCGTATAGAGCCCGTACAGTAGCCCCTATAGACCCCTTAAAGGAACCCAGTTCTAGTTCTTAAGGCCCTTAAAACATAGACCCGTCTGTTCTAGACCCGTTCTAGAACCCCTTTAAAATGAACCCCTATTCTAATTTTTAAGGCCCTTATATCCATACATCCCATATAGAGCCCCTATAGACCCCTTGCCCGTGAACGAACCCTACACCCTGTACCGCTTGAAGCCTTGATAATAACCCTAGACCCTGGAACACAGCCTGGGTTCAGTGCTCCACTTCTGCACTCTGAAGCATGCCCGACGGGGCGCCGAGCATGCGAGACGACGAAAAGGCCACTTTCCGTAACAACTACTTGCGACCAAGTACTCAAACAGCCTGCCCCCCAATGTAGGAAAAAAAAAGCCTGATCTCTTGAAAACCGACCCCTGCCGATGTATTATGCACTTCCATCGCCCAGTTCAATGCGAGCAAGTAGTCAAATAGCCTCCCCCCCCTCAAATAGGCATGCGTTGTCCGGAATGCTGAAAACCCACCCCTGCCGATGTTTTCTGCACGTCCATGACCGTTTTCAATACAAGCAAGTAGGCAAATAGGCTCCCTCCTAAAATAGGCATGCCTTGACCGACATGCTCAAAACCCGCCCCTGCCGATGTTTTCTGCACGTCCGTCGATGAGAACATGCCTTTTGTACCATGCGCGGGAACGCGCCACGAACCATGTAGTTTGTTGAATATATATATATATATATATATGTATATATATATCTATATATATATATATGTATATATTTGTATATACAGGTCTGCATGTGTTCGTGCATGCATGCATACATGCATGTATGTATGTCATGGTGTATTTATGTATATAGTCATCATGTTGCAGGCATAAAAGAAACATATCTGCAGATATGTTTACATGTATATTCATATATACACAGGCACACACTGATGTAGGTCATGTGGTGTTTGTCTTATCTTTAAATATATATATATATATATATATATACACCACAAGTTTTATGCATTCTTTATATTTGTTGCATATGTTATGTTTCAAGCATCATCTGTCTGCTCGTATATACCAAGATAAACAACCAGTGTATGTTTGTATATATACACACATGTATATTCGATTGTTACATATGGCTTTGTTTTGTACACATATATACATACTACGCCGTACGACGGTTTATGTTTCGTAAATTGCATTTAGCATAGCTTGCTGTTTTCTGTCATATTGTGTGCGTTGTTGTTATGTATTACGTATGCACATACTATATACCATACTGTATGTTTTTTCTACACATATACATATAATATCTGCTACATACGCACATACATACATACATACACATTTTTCACGTTTGTATTCATCGTAATAGTATATTGTAGCGTATATACCAATTAACTGTGCATACACAGAATAAACAGAGATGTATACACATGTACATATGTATACACACATTCATTGGTCCACCACGCCAGATTTGATTTAGGGTTCCGTTTCGTATTGAGTCATATTATGCAAAATGTGTCTTATCAAATCTGGTTTGATTGGGTCATATTATAGTATGTTATGTTTCTGAATATTACACTGTTTCATATCATATCACAAACGATCGTTTTGTTTTATGTTACATTTTATTATGATAAACTAAGTGATATGGTATCACTTGATACTCTCTTTTTTACATGATACGCTATCCTTGTGATATTATACATATGTTCTTACATAAGAAGCATCGGCTTGAAGAGCAAGCCCTGGCTCCAAGCAGCCCTCTGCTCCCACTCATAGTAGTTATATGGTAGTAATATGATAGCAGTATGATAGTAATATGGTAATAGTAGTAGTTATACTTGTACCCCATCCTCGAAATCGCCGCAGGCGGCGTAAGAAGCGCGGAGTCTCGATCTCGTCCACCGAGACCAAGGACGCGCTTCGGAGGGTCGGTTTTTGTGTTGAGAGCATCCCAGGCAAGTTAGGTAGGTGATAGCCTCCAAGAATGTCTTGTGGGTGCTAATTAAGTCTCAACATAGGAACCCCTCGTCCACATGTATAGAACTCTGAGTTCAAGCGCTGTGCCTTTGCAGGTGGAGGACCCGAGCTTGCATGCAGAGTTGATATGGGACTGCTGACATGTGGACCCTACTGCTTCCCAGCAAATTGGAATCCCAGTACCCTAGATCCAAACCCCCATCCAATCCCCACTCGTCACCATGTGTCAGACTCCAGGACACGCGGCCTTCCTCTGTAGCCACGGTTCTGGAGGAGCCCAAGGCGCTGATGCAGCCGGTAGTGTGGTGCTGGTGGTCGTGCCGCTGCTGTTGCTGTTGCAGTTTGATGCACTGCAGAGTGCTTGCTACATGCGATTGAAGGCACGTGGCAATACGATCGGGGTGGAGCGGCGGCACTGCAAGCTGCATTTGAGATCAAGCCGCAGTGTCAACATGCAACCAAGGGCGCACATTCAAAATTGATAACTTTCATGTTTTATGCTTTGATGATGTCTCGGGATGCTCATCCTGGTCACTCGCCGATGACTCGGCATTTCGTTTTGCCAAGACAAAGGGGGCAAGGGACAAACAGAGTCGATTTCGGGCAGGAAGGCGTTAAAGGGACGACTTGGGGATGTCTCCAGTGTCGCTGCCGTCGTGGTCGTCGTCGTCGTTGCTGAGGGTTGCTGTCGTCGCTGTCGATTCTGCTTCCATCTACCGACGCGTCTCCTCGTGCGTACAGGAGACGCTGCCAGATCTCGAGACCAGAAAGCCGAAGCCCCGAAAGGCCAGCCTAAAGCACTCGGGTTGTTGGGCTGATGGGTGGAGTGGATGTGCAATTCTGAGTGAGGTAGTGGGTTCAGGGCCCAGAGCATGTGGTCTGCGCTAGAAGGTTGAATTCACATCAGCGCTGGTTTGCCCAGGGGCCAGCTGACGTCAGCGCTTCCCCACGGGGCGTGCAGCTGCCTCACATCTGAGGGAGAGCGGCCAATCTCTTCGTTAGCTCTGGTTCCGCGCCCGATTTCTGATGGAGTTTAGCATAGTTTAGCCACACCCCCCAGCAGAACTTGGGATCGCTGGGCGGAGCCGGACATGTGGGGTACTGTTGTGCCTTAGGGGATGAACGCAAAAACTGCGGCTCACCTCCTCGAGGGTCTTGCAGTGTGTAATCGAATGAAGACCATTCGCCCCGACATCCCTGGGAGCAACGGGCTTGCTCATGCAATCTCTTGACTTGGTTCCTCTCCTACCATGACAGCCATCCTTGCAGCCTTGCAGTCGACGTCAGCTCCCATGAATCCATGTATAAACCAGTCTTCAGCCGCCAATTTCCAAGTTCTTGTGCGGAGACACCAGCCTGCGTCTGACCAAGACCAAGATTTGGGAGATTTCACAGTGGCATATTGTTGCGTAGTCTTACTACCAGACGCTGAAAGGATTCCCGTGGCGCTCTGCAAACGCAGACCAGCCGTCACGGAGGGTTGAGCAGTTTTTGCTGCTCTTCTCCGTCCGACTGTCATTACGAGTTCTGCTGATGGTTTTAGACTGTGTACACACAGCTACCTAGGTAGTAGCCTCCTTCTATGCCTGACCGCAGAACTGCTTGACGCAGAACGGGATGTTTGCCCAGCTTAGCTGGATGAAGGAATCTGCCGATCTAAGTGATTTGGTTATTCCAGGGCTCCGGCTGTCCCCTTGTACAGAGTTCCCAGAGCCCATTGCAGAGGCCGAGGCAGTTCCCAGCCCATCACCCCTCCAGCCCAGCAAAAGGAATGCTCCTCGTCCTTGTACCACTGCGTGACAGATAAACCCCAATGCATTGTAGCTCAAGCTTCGAGTTGCTTTCTCAACGCAGGTTAGAACATTCAGTAGACAACGAGCATGCAAAGGGAGATGAATAAGTATAGATATATATGCATATACATCTACATATATATATATATATGTACACTTCACACACACACACACACGCATACGTACATACACGCATACAGGCAGGTACGTACATACATACATGCATGTTAACACATAGAACATCACGGACATATCTAACATGTGCCGGGTAGCCTTGCTGACGGTCCGGTCATGGGGAGCTTTACAATTACAGTAGCCTACGTATATACTTTATGAGCAAAGTTCCTGCCCGAATCTGGAACAGCTCCCAGTTGCATTCGCTTGCAGGTGGCTGTCCGTCCTGTCTCTGGCTGTGCTCGCGTCGACCCTGGCCTTTGCCCTGCCATCAGAGCCTCCACGAGATGGGGCTACGGTTCGAAGGCTGGGCTTTGCAGCAGCATTCCCGAGAGTCCGAGAATCGGAGGACATATCGAGCGGAAGCGGGAGCTCCAAGCTCAAGTTCCCACCAAAGACCTCAAAGCCCCTCGAGACTTGGCGGAGCGATGCTGCTACGTTGTCTGTACCGAGTCGCAGGAACTGTAGAAGTCATCGTACCAAGGACGAAGAGCCGGAGCCAGACGAGAAGAGTAGTACAGTAGCAACAAGTGGGAACAGGCAGTGACACACCGCGGAGCAGTCGCAGCATCGGCAGTCGCTCTTCTTTTGCGAGTGCAGGCCGATGACGGTGAGCGGCACGAGGGACCTCGCGAACAAAATCTACAAGATGGAGGACTCCCAGGCCTGTGAGGGGTCGAGCCGACGAAGAGTCTCCATAGTCTTCGCTGTTGTAACTGTAAAAATACGAGGTTTGGAGAGTCTTTTGGGGGATGCGTGAGGGGGGAACTCCGGACTTTCATGGTCAAACCTGACGACATTAAAGCCCGGCGCATGCCTTGCCACCTTATCTGACATCCGGCCTGGGAGCGCTGCATCATGCAGGAAGCTGCGAGGAAAAGCATTCGAGTTAGATGAGCTTCACCTCGTGTTGCAGGCTCTGGATTTCCTGGAGCGGTGGTTCGAGGGCCAGGAGGCGGATGCCGTTGACGGGATGTGCCTTGCAAGCACCGTGTTGCAACTCCACGACTGAGACTCTCGGCAGCGGAAGAAGCTCGGTGGAAGAAGGGCTTCTTCAAGTAAGGTTGCTTCAAAAACGGTCGAACCCTGCCAGGACGTGGGTGGTCTGAGGAGGCTGCCTCCCAGGGTCCGGCAGAGCCTGCGGTGAGCCCTGCGGGTTTGCAGGTTGGGGGTTCTCTGTGGCTTCGGATGATACTGTAGCAGATGGATAAACCCGATGCCCCAAGCCCCAAGCTGGTACGTGCATGGTCCCAGCCGGGGACTCAGAGCAGTGAAGGAAAGCCTCCACACCCAAGCTTTGACGGCTCCATGCCCCCTCCCACACCCTTGCATCTTTGACCATGCATCCGGCCTTGCCAGGACGGCCATGAACACGATCATCAAGGCTTCACGGTTTCCTGGAAGGGTCCATGACTCGCCTGCGGCGCGTCTTCATTCCATTCTGGTGATTTGTCAGGGTTTTTGTCGCGAACATACTTTGTGCAGCCTGGAAGGCGGCTGGGAACGAAGGCAAGTTGTCCCAGAGTTACACCTGGTGCGCCCATGGCCGGGACGTTGTTTGAGGGTTTGGTACTTGTGAGTGGGGGTTGGTACTTGTGAGTGGGCTGTATCTGCACGCCATGTTTTGCACGTCTGTTTCAGTGGGTTCTGAGATTCTGCCTTTGAGGTCTCTGTTTGAAGGCGGTGACAAACCCTGGAAGTCCAGACAAGACCGGAAAGCGGGTCCTCTCTGTTAGGGCAAGTAAATCAAACGATTGGCTTGTTTTGGCGGTATGGAGTTGTTTCTTCTGCTGCAGTTTGACGGCAGTGTGGCGATTCATCGGGTATCCGGCTAGTATGTCAGAAGCTCCGGGGATCCAAGTCCAAACCACCATAGTCTAGTGTGCCACAATGGGTGAATTGGGCCTCTGCTTGAAGCGCTTCGGGCTCTTTGAGGTATCAGCGGATGCGTGACGCGAAGATCGACACGAACCCCCGGTCCGGAGCTCATGCCTAGACTTGCAGCTTGGGAATGGCTCTCCTTCCTTCCGGCTCTTCTTGTTACCACGTCGGTATTGTGCGGCTTGGCCGAGTTTCCAGTCAAAAGTCAGCGGAATGACCTCGTAGAGTCCGTCCCGGTTCCCCATGAACCTCCTCCGAAGGTAGCCTCAACCCTGAACTGTCCATTCCAGGACCTTCGGAAAGCTAGTTGCTGCAGCCGCAAAAGCTGGACTCGCCGATGCCCTAGTAGTAGAGTCATGTCCTGAGGTTCGTGGACTTGCGGGTTGTTGCTATATCAAACTTGATGTCATCCCTTTCTTTGGTCCAAGACGTCTCTTTGCATTCCGTTGTCAAGCTGTGGTTCAATTTTGCAGAAAGCTGGCGGGGATCGATTCGTGGGCGGGCGCAGTCGGCTTAAGACCAGTTTGACGAACCAGTGCCGTGCTGGAGGTCTCAAGTCAAATCGATCAAGATTGAAACCTTGGAGCCTTCTGGATAGTTCAGAGCCGTGACTGACTGCAGTTGCAAGAGCCCCACAGGTGGTTGCACGACGGTAGGACAACCGCCCGCGAACCTCGGAACACGAGACTTGGCATCGACATCTTAAGCCCACGACCCGATTCAGGTAGAGGATGCTGAGCTCTGGCTGGAGTCGATGTTAGAAGAGGTGCGTCTATACACTTCACGGTTTCAGTGTTCCGTTGTAAGAATCGAGGCCTGTGAAGCAGGCTGCTCAACACCTTGTGTTGCACATGTTGTAGTAGCATGCTGTGCACAGTAGGAGTTTTAGGGAAGCCACATACACAGTGATACGGTACGGCAAAACATCATAATCTGCAGCAGGTATACGTATGCAGTAACTTGGCCGTTGTAATGGTCATCAGAGTCAATCTGAAAACAACATACTCGTGCTTATACATACACATGATTATGCATGCGCACGTATACATGTTCACATGCATGCTTGCACACATATCATACATATATCTGTGTATACACATAGGTACATATGTTTATCTACACATACATAGGTACACATATATATATATATATATGTACATATTGCCATGTCCGCATATGTATATACATATATATATATATATATATATATCTGCACATGCACAACTGCCTACCTACCCACCTACATACATACATACATACAATGCGCACACACATGCACATAAGGCGAACCTATTCATATGTGCATGCAAATGTGTATGAAGATGTGTCTGTCAGTGTGAAGGTAGACGTACACATTTACGTATATGTATATGTATATGTATATAGAACTATGTATAATAGATACATCAGTGTGAATAGACCTACAGTAGGCCAAGAAACAAACCCACAAACACGCGCACACAGATGTATATATGCATATATATATACATATATATATATATATATTTATTTATGTATATACATATATGTATATATATATATATATATCTAGATATAGATATATATCTATATATGTACGTATATATGTGTGTGTTTGTCTTTACATATATATATATATATACACACAGACATGGCAAATATTGTGCATGCACATACACCGCGTCAGGGCTTCCAGCCGGATCTGGTGGCCATCTCTTCGGTCATAACAGCATGCTGCGAGGCAGAGCGGGAGCTTTCCGTTTCGCAGCATCTTTTGGGGCTTGCGAGGATGATCGGATTCAGTTATAGGGTAGGGCGGATGCAAGTTGCCCCGTCCTGCGGACCCTAATTGCAGGCGCAGCCTTGACCTAGCATACTGCCGTGACTGGTGTCCAGGCCAAAGAGCCTTCGCGCGCCGAGCGGTGGTTCGAGCAGCTAGTGCAGCAGGGGCTAACACCGGACCTGCCCGGGCCCCGATGACCATGGGTTTTGGACTAAGACGGGCAAGCAGGTTGCTATCGGGAGGAGATTCTGGCCTCATCCAAGGATTGCCTACAACAGCATGATCGACGTACATGCCGAAGTGGGAGATGGTGAGAAAGCAGCTGAATGGCTCCAGAAGGCAATGGATGCAGGCCACACCCTGGAGTAGGAGCTAGTCGTGGAAGTAGTAGTAGTAGTAGTAGCAGTAGTAGTAGTAGTAGTAGTAGTAGTAGTAGTAGTAGTAGTAGTAGTAGTAGTAGTAGTAAGTAGCAACAGGAGTAGGAGCAGTAGGATCCGTAGAAGCAAGCTGGAGCAGTAGGAGCAGTAGGAGCAGTAAGAGCAGTAAGAGCAGTAAGAGCAGTAGGAGCAGGAGGAGTAGGAGGAGTAGGAGGAGTAGGAGGAGTAGGAGGAGTAGGAGGAGTAGGAGGAGTAGGAGGAGTAGGACGAGTAGGAGGAGTAGGAGGAGTAGGAGCAGGAGTAGGAGCAGGAGTAGGAGCAGGAGTATGAGTAGGAGTCGGAGGAGTACAGCAGGAGCAGGAGCAGGGATAGAAGTAGGGGAAGCGGTGGCAGTGGCGGTCATCGTAGTGGTAGTGGTAGCAACGTGGCCCCTGCAGCTTCTCCTACTGCAATCGTGCTGGAAGCTCTTCCAGTAGTTCTTTACACCTTGCACCAGGAATTGATGTCAGCACGGCCTGCTACAATGTCGCTCGAACACGTTTGCTTTTGCTTCGCCGCTCTGAACTCTCCAAGGTCTCTCGAGGTCGCAGGGTTTGTTGCCTCCACCAACCAAGGGTTTATTGTGCAGGCTGTCTTTCCGGTTTGCGCAAAGTCCAAGCTTCGTGTACGTGGGGTTGGCAGAGTCTTCCCAAGTGGCGAGTTGTGTTTCAAAGTTCAGGCTTGGGTGCCGAGGCGACAGTCGACCTGTGCAGTCAGTATCCACTTTTCCGTGCATGGCCAGGCTGTGATCAAGGGGTACTGCCGCCAGGGCGACCTGGAGGCGAGGTTTAGGGTTTAGGGTTCAACGATGTCTACGGGCTTCGGAAAAAGCGAGTTGGGCTCTTGCGTTGAGCCTTGTTGTAAGGGCCTCTTGTAGGTTCCCGTTGCCCAAATCACAAAGGCTTAATTGTCTGACTTGAAGCGCCCCTTAGGCGAGGATGCGAGGATTCACTTTAGGCTCAGACACCCTGGCCGGAAGCGCAGAACTTGAAACCCTACGCTTGACCCGCAAGCCCTAAACCCTAAACCGCCCTTCCACCTTTGACCCTCTAAGGGTGCCAATGAGTGGCTGCAAAAATCCAAGGCCGGCTATGCAGTCATGTCCCTGCAAGGTGGCTTCAATTTCTGATGTTCATGATTGGACCATGTCATTCCTAAGCCCGAAGGCCCAGGGGCTGCCAGCAGTCTTGGACATCCATCTTCGCATCGCGCGTTCTCTTCTGACTTATGGCCCAGTTTAGGGCGCTAAGCCAGGCAGCCGGCCGTGGTCTCGACATCATGTCGTACAACACGGCCCAGATCCCACGAGAGGGTCCTGGTATGATTGGGGGGACGTAACTTCGGGTGTGCGTACGATAAGGATCCCAGGTTTTTGGGTCCTTATCATACGGATCCTGCATTACCCTAAATCCTAGACCCTAAATCCTAAGAGGTCATGTTAGGGTCCCTCATTCGCTGAGACTCCCTCATGGAGAGTCTTTTGACCGGAAGTGTCAGGAAGAATGATCAGAGGAGGGCTTCGCACTGTTTGGGTTCCGGGTTTAGGGCTTAGGGCTTAGGGCGGGATTCTGACACGAAAGGGCCATGAACTCCAATTTCAGTCAGCCGGGAGGAGGGGCCCAGCACTATCCACAGTTGGTCTAACGGTAGAGTCATCCTAAAAAGTTGTGCTGTTCGGCGGAGTTGACTTGCCAAGTAATGACTGGTGTGTTGCTTGCTTTTGGTCGGGCGGAGGATTCTTGTTTGGGGTCCTTATCTCAGCGATGCTCTTATGAGAGATCTATGTTGAGGCCTCCCTCGCTCGGATTGCAGAGAAAACGTCCTTAGGCCAAAATGCTCGAGCACCTTGTTTGCTGCACGAGGATTGCACCATTTGCGGATCCATTTGCACAAGCTCTACTCTGTTTGCCTTCTCTTTCTCAAACCTGCGACCCGTTCAGCAATCAAGCTGCAGAGGTCCTGAACTACTTCGCCGAGGAGGGAGACCTGAAGAAAGCACAGGCCCGACTTGCCACACGCTTCGGGTTTTCAGTCGTTGAGACTTCAGTATGTCAGGGCGTCTTGGATAGTGTGGCGTCTGAGACGCGTGCTATTGGCACATGCTCCCCCATCTAAAGGCAGGCCGGAACCCGAAACCCTAAACCCTAAGCTTGATAGAACCCTCAGGCTCCTTGTGCCTACAGAGTATATACCAAGGCCTTGAAGTCCCCACCAAAAAAGCCGCGTAGAAGTCTCAGCGATGCTATTTCACGCCCTCCCGAGGACTGGTTCGGCAAGCTGAAGGCCTCTGGCCTGCAGTTGGACCAGGCCCATCTATGTAGTCGATTTGTCGATGGATCTATCGATCGGGCCATCTGTCTCTGTCCGTCCATCTGTCCATCTGTCCATCTGTCTGTCTGCTTATCTGTCAATCCGTCTATCGATGTCCATTTGTCTATCCGTCTATCTATCTGTCTGTATCTACTTGATATCTATTTGTCTATCCATCTGCCTGTCTTTATATGTATGCTGTATATGCATGTATACTGTATATGTCTATGAACATGTAGATTCGATGTAGATGGATAGGTGGGGTGTTTGTCTGTCATGTATCCCCGCTCCCTCTACGAGCTAGTGCTATGCTGCAAAAGTCGGGCGCTCCTTTCGTTGCGGCCTTGAGTACAGCGGTTTAGAAGCGACAGTGCGCCTGGCGCAGCAAGTATGTGGAAGGTGTCCTTCAACACCATGATCAAAGCTGCTGTTTCGGCCGACAAGCTGCCGACCCGGCATGCTTGCTTCGCATTTCAAATCATTGGGGTGGCTGCAGCAAGCTCTGTCGTCCGGCCCTGCCCTGCACTTCTGGCCAGGCCACAGACAGAGGAGTACATCCAGGAGATGCTCGCGAATAGCATGCAGCCAACAACTGCGACATACGTGAGTCTGGTGCGCGGCTTAGCAGCTTGAGGCAGTTGCGCTTCAAGCATGACAACGGCTGACCCGAATTCCGACAAAGGGTCCAAGCCAGATTCAGTCTGGAGTCATCTGTCTTAGTGACTTAGTGCAGCTTACAGCCACTATACTTGGGTGCTGAGTGATGTGTGCACGGCGAGCAAGAGTTGCAACTCGAAAGTCTCTGTGTGTGTGTGTGTTGTGCCAGTGATTTGTTTCTGGGTTTTGCTTGTCCTGCAACTTCCAATCGTAGTTCGCCCGCTTGAGGAATATATGGCTGCAGCGGATTCTCGAGCATGTGAGCTTTCCAACTTGTGTTTATGGACCAGAGGGTGCAACTGGCCGCATCTGCAAAAGGTCTCCGCCTATGCCGACCAGGGCGATCTGGAAACGGCACAGCTGTGGTACGACAAGGCCTTGCGACCTGGACCATAGTCTAGAGTATCCCATGACCCCGGTCAATCTAGAAGCGATACAGGCCGAAGACTCAACTTCCAGCCGTCCGAGGCATGAGCACCCAGCCCCCGAGCTCGAAGCTTCGGAGGCTGAAAGGGCAGGGAAGACGAACAAGAACATTGATACGGCGCTTGCAAAGGCGCAAGTGAAAGTGCGGTGCCCAGAGGCATCGGCATTCATGGGGTTTAGATCCGTGGCTGGCGGCCATTCGTCTTCGTTTCGAGTAAATAGTCCATGTGTGTCTGCCTGGTCTGTCAGTCCGAGTGTTTGGCTCCGTGTTTTCTTTGGGTTTGGCAGTCGCTGTTTCTGGGTATCTGTCCGATGAGGTGTTCACATACAGTGGCCGAGGCCCTTCATTCAGATCGTTTCGGCTTATCAGTGGCCCATCTCGCACCTTTCTGCCTCGATCCCTCGGACTCTAGCAATGGCTTCCGTGAAGAGCATGATCGCCGCCGGCCTCCTTGCTGCGCCTTGCGCAGACGCTTTTGTGGCACCGGGAGGGTCCCAGTCCTCCCAGGCCGTCTCTGGCCTTCGAGGCTCCACGGCTGTGAAGGCTGAGTCTGGCTTCAGCACCTCGGCGTTGGCCGTCGCCACGACCGGCGCTGCGGTGCTGAGCTTCGTGGGTGCAAAGAAACCGGCTGCCCGCAAGACCGTGGCTTGCAGGTTCAGCCCTGAAGCACAGATTGGGGTCACCGAGCCTTTGGGATTCTTTGATCCGGCCGGTTTCTGCAAGGACGAGGCTTCCTTCAAGGACTTGCGAGCCAAGGAGCTCAAGCATGGCAGAATCTGGGTCCTGGATGGGGAAGCCTTTCGATTTTTCGGGCTGGTAGCCAGCGCCACTAAAGGCACTAAAAGGGGATTTCGGACTTTCACTGTAAGCATGTGCTGCAGATGCACCCGTCCGCAGTCCAGGATTGGCGATGATGGGCGCACTCGGCATGCTAACGCAGAGCCTGGTGCAGCTGCCCGGAATGGAGGGCGTGCCGAAGGACATTTCGGCCTTCAGCACAGGTGCCGGCCAAACCGGCTTCCTCATTACCATCGCCATCATTGCGGTATTGGAGGCGGCTGTCTTCGTTCAGGACGACAGCAAGGAGCCAGGCAGGCAGTCGGGGTTGGTAACACCAGCCGGTACTGTAATTGCATCGTCGGATGCTAGCCATGTTAGCCTAGTCGTGGCGAAAAATGACGGCAGCCAGGCAACTTTGGCAATCCCGTGCCTCTGGTTGGGGATGATTATTCGGATGAGATGCGCAACCGCGAGATCAACAACGGCAGGATCGTAAAAGGGGTATCAATGTACGGAGTCGAGCATGGTCCTTGGATGTTGTCTGGTCTTCCTGTGACTTTCAATAGCAGGTCGCGGGGGTCTTTAGTCTTCTCGTTCTGAAGGTCCGTAGTGGCATAAATTTCATGCTTGACAAGACGCAGGATCGCCATGTTCGCCGCCCTCGGACAGATCGCAGCTGGCCTCTACACGGGCAAATCCGCCATTGAGCAATTCGGGCTTTGAAGAAGGCAGCACCCGGCTGAATGCGCTTTCGGACGTGAAGTGCATCGGGAGCCCTTGAATTGTTTTAGCTAGCCAATAGATGTATACATCATTTTCGCGTTTCTGAGCTTCAGCCTCAAGTGCTTGTTGCTCAGCAGCCAGGATTGACTTGGCTGGCCAGTTGGCATCATTTTCGCCGTTACAGGTACGGCACGACCGCGGGACAGCATCGAGCATGATGCTAAGGTGTTCCGAGACCACATCTACGCTGCACAAAGAGCAGGCGAAAAGAGTGCGAGTGGAAGTACGTAGTGTGTTTGCAACAAGGGGTAGGGCTCGGTAGTGTCAGGTATGCCTCTGAAGATGATGATTCATGTATTTTCATGGTGAGTTACACATACGGGGTCAATGATGTGGAAGTAAGCGGAGGCGTTGCAGTCGAATGGCCTGCACATGGAGATTGTTTCGGCTTATCAGTGGCCCATCTCGCACCTTTCTGCCTCGATCCCTCGGACTCTAGCAATGGCTTCCGTGAAGAGCATGATCGCCGCCGGCCTCCTTGCTGCGCCTTGCGCAGACGCTTTTGTGGCACCGGGAGGGTCCCAGTCCTCCCAGGCCGTCTCTGGCCTTCGAGGCTCCACGGCTGTGAAGGCTGAGTCTGGCTTCAGCACCTCGGCGTTGGCCGTCGCCACGACCGGCGCTGCGGTGCTGAGCTTCGTGGGTGCAAAGAAACCGGCTGCCCGCAAGACCGTGGCTTGCAGGTTCAGCCCTGAAGCACAGATTGGGGTCACCGAGCCTTTGGGATTCTTTGATCCGGCCGGTTTCTGCAAGGACGAGGCTTCCTTCAAGGACTTGCGAGCCAAGGAGCTCAAGCATGGCAGAATCTGGGTCCTGGATGGGGAAGCCTTTCGATTTTTCGGTCTGGTAGCCAGCGCCACTAAAGGCACTAAAAGGGGATTTCGGACTTTCACTGTAAGCATGTGCTGCAGATGCACCCGTCCGCAGTCCAGGATTGGCGATGATGGGCGCACTCGGCATGCTAACGCAGAGCCTGGTGCAGCTGCCCGGAATGGAGGGCGTGCCGAAGGACATTTCGGCCTTCAGCACAGGTGCCGGCCAAACCGGCTTCCTCATTACCATCGCCATCATTGCGGTATTGGAGGCGGCTGTCTTCGTTCAGGACGACAGCAAGGAGCCAGGCAGGCAGTCGGGGTTGGTAACACCAGCCGGTACTGTAATTGCATCGTCGGATGCTAGCCATGTTAGCCTAGTCGTGGCGAAAAATGACGGCAGCCAGGCAACTTTGGCAATCCCGTGCCTCTGGTTGGGGATGATTATTCGGATGAGATGCGCAACCGCGAGATCAACAACGGCAGGATCGTGAAAGGGGTATCAATGTACGGAGTCGAGCATGGTCCTTGGATGTTGTCTGGTCTTCCTGTGACTTTCAATAGCAGGTCGCGGGGGTCTTTAGTCTTCTCGTTCTGAAGGTCCGTAGTGGCATAAATTTCATGCTTGACACGACGCAGGATCGCCATGTTCGCCGCCCTCGGACAGATCGCAGCTGGCCTCTACACAGGCAAATCCGCCATTGAGCAATTCGGGCTTTGAAGAAGGCAGCACCCGGCTGAATGCGCTTTCGGACGTGAAGCGCATCGGGAGCCCTTGAATTGTTTTAGCTAGCCAATAGATGTATACATCATTTTCGCGTTTCTGAGCTTCAGCCTCAAGTGCTTGTTGCTCAGCAGCCAGGATTGACTTGGCTGGCCAGTTGGCATCATTTTCGCCGTTACAGGTACGGCACGACCGCGGGACAGCATCGAGCATGATGCTAAGGTGTTCCGAGACCACATCTACGCTGCACAAAGAGCAGGCGAAAAGAGTGCGAGTGGAAGTACGTAGTGTGTTTGCAACAAGGGGTAGGGCTCGGTAGTGTCAGGTATGCCTCTGAAGATGATGATTCATGTATTTTCATGGTGAGTTACACATACGGGGTCAATGATGTGGAAGTAAGCGGAGGCGTTGCAGTCGAATGGCCTGCACATGGAGATTGTTTCGGCTTATCAGTGGCCCATCTCGCACCTTTCTGCCTCGATCCCTCGGACTCTAGCAATGGCTTCCGTGAAGAGCATGATCGCCGCCGGCCTCCTTGCTGCGCCTTGCGCAGACGCTTTTGTGGCACCGGGAGGGTCCCAGTCCTCCCAGGCCGTCTCTGGCCTTCGAGGCTCCACGGCTGTGAAGGCTGAGTCTGGCTTCAGCACCTCGGCGTTGGCCGTCGCCACGACCGGCGCTGCGGTGCTGAGCTTCGTGGGTGCAAAGAAACCGGCTGCCCGCAAGACCGTGGCTTGCAGGTTCAGCCCTGAAGCACAGATTGGGGTCACCGAGCCTTTGGGATTCTTTGATCCGGCCGGTTTCTGCAAGGACGAGGCTTCCTTCAAGGACTTGCGAGCCAAGGAGCTCAAGCATGGCAGAATCTGGGTCCTGGATGGGGAAGCCTTTCGATTTTTCGGGCTGGTAGCCAGCGCCACTAAAGGCACTAAAAGGGGATTTCGGACTTTCACTGTAAGCATGTGCTGCAGATGCACCCGTCCGCAGTCCAGGATTGGCGATGATGGGCGCACTCGGCATGCTAACGCAGAGCCTGGTGCAGCTGCCCGGAATGGAGGGCGTGCCGAAGGACATTTCGGCCTTCAGCACAGGTGCCGGCCAAACCGGCTTCCTCATTACCATCGCCATCATTGCGGTATTGGAGGCGGCTGTCTTCGTACAGGACGACAGCAAGGAGCCAGGCAGGCAGTCGGGGTTGGTAACACCAGCCGGTACTGTAATTGCATCGTCGGATGCTAGCCATGTTAGCCTAGTCGTGGCGAAAAATGACGGCAGCCAGGCAACTTTGGCAATCCCGTGCCTCTGGTTGGGGATGATTATTCGGATGAGATGCGCAACCGCGAGATCAACAACGGCAGGATCGTGAAAGGGGTATCAATGTACGGAGTCGAGCATGGTCCTTGGATGTTGTCTGGTCTTCCTGTGACTTTCAATAGCAGGTCGCGGGGGTCTTTAGTCTTCTCGTTCTGAAGGTCCGTAGTGGCATAAATTTCATGCTTGACACGACGCAGGATCGCCATGTTCGCCGCCCTCGGACAGATCGCAGCTGGCCTCTACACAGGCAAATCCGCCATTGAGCAATTCGGGCTTTGAAGAAGGCAGCACCCGGCTGAATGCGCTTTCGGACGTGAAGCGCATCGGGAGCCCTTGAATTGTTTTAGCTAGCCAATAGATGTATACATCATTTTCGCGTTTCTGAGCTTCAGCCTCAAGTGCTTGTTGCTCAGCAGCCAGGATTGACTTGGCTGGCCAGTTGGCATCATTTTCGCCGTTACAGGTACGGCACGACCGCGGGACAGCATCGAGCATGATGCTAAGGTGTTCCGAGACCACATCTACGCTGCACAAAGAGCAGGCGAAAAGAGTGCGAGTGGAAGTACGTAGTGTGTTTGCAACAAGGGGTAGGGCTCGGTAGTGTCAGGTATGCCTCTGAAGATGATGATTCATGTATTTTCATGGTGAGTTACACATACGGGGTCAATGATGTGGAAGTAAGCGGAGGCGTTGCAGTCGAATGGCCTGCACATGGAGATTGTTTCGGCTTATCAGTGGCCCATCTCGCACCTTTCTGCCTCGATCCCTCGGACTCTAGCAATGGCTTCCGTGAAGAGCATGATCGCCGCCGGCCTCCTTGCTGCGCCTTGCGCAGACGCTTTTGTGGCACCGGGAGGGTCCCAGTCCTCCCAGGCCGTCTCTGGCCTTCGAGGCTCCACGGCTGTGAAGGCTGAGTCTGGCTTCAGCACCTCGGCGTTGGCCGTCGCCACGACCGGCGCTGCGGTGCTGAGCTTCGTGGGTGCAAAGAAACCGGCTGCCCGCAAGACCGTGGCTTGCAGGTTCAGCCCTGAAGCACAGATTGGGGTCACCGAGCCTTTGGGATTCTTTGATCCGGCCGGTTTCTGCAAGGACGAGGCTTCCTTCAAGGACTTGCGAGCCAAGGAGCTCAAGCATGGCAGAATCTGGGTCCTGGATGGGGAAGCCTTTCGATTTTTCGGGCTGGTAGCCAGCGCCACTAAAGGCACTAAAAGGGGATTTCGGACTTTCACTGTAAGCATGTGCTGCAGATGCACCCGTCCGCAGTCCAGGATTGGCGATGATGGGCGCACTCGGCATGCTAACGCAGAGCCTGGTGCAGCTGCCCGGAATGGAGGGCGTGCCGAAGGACATTTCGGCCTTCAGCACAGGTGCCGGCCAAACCGGCTTCCTCATTACCATCGCCATCATTGCGGTATTGGAGGCGGCTGTCTTCGTTCAGGACGACAGCAAGGAGCCAGGCAGGCAGTCGGGGTTGGTAACACCAGCCGGTACTGTAATTGCATCGTCGGATGCTAGCCATGTTAGCCTAGTCGTGGCGAAAAATGACGGCAGCCAGGCAACTTTGGCAATCCCGTGCCTCTGGTTGGGGATGATTATTCGGATGAGATGCGCAACCGCGAGATCAACAACGGCAGGATCGTAAAAGGGGTATCAATGTACGGAGTCGAGCATGGTCCTTGGATGTTGTCTGGTCTTCCTGTGACTTTCAATAGCAGGTCGCGGGGGTCTTTAGTCTTCTCGTTCTGAAGGTCCGTAGTGGCATAAATTTCATGCTTGACAAGACGCAGGATCGCCATGTTCGCCGCCCTCGGACAGATCGCAGCTGGCCTCTACACGGGCAAATCCGCCATTGAGCAATTCGGGCTTTGAATAAGGCAGCACCCGGCTGAATGCGCTTTCGGACGTGAAGCGCATCGGGAGCCCTTGAATTGTTTTAGCTAGCCAATAGATGTATACATCATTTTCGCGTTTCTGAGCTTCAGCCTCAAGTGCTTGTTGCTCAGCAGCCAGGATTGACTTGGCTGGCCAGTTGGCATCATTTTCGCCGTTACAGGTACGGCACGACCGCGGGACAGCATCCAGCATGATGCCAAGGTGTTCCGAGACCACATCTACGCCGCACAAAGAGCGGCGAAAAGCGGAGCGAGAAAGAAGCACTGCATTCCGTCCTTCTGCAGCCCCGAAGCGAAAGATCTACGAATCTACTCCGCCCGCAGAACCTCGGCGAGCCTCCCTGGAGCCTCTCTATTATTACTGCTATTGCTACTGTTATTATTTCTGTTACTAGTATTAAGTATTATCACTATATTACTATTACTACTTTTTCCCCAAAGGCCAAAGCTGCAGAGGGTGCGAGCGAGCGCGGCCTCCAGTCCTTTGCGGCTCCGAAGGCTTGGCGATGGAGCGATCCCTAAACCCTACTATGAGGTTCATGGGGGCAGTTACAAGTGGGCTCATAAGTCCCCGAGTATGGGAGTTACCCTAGGTACAACCCTACCTGCAACTGGCATGAACCTCCTCCAAGTAAACCTTACACCGTTCAGTTCCGGACTTTGGGCTTTGAAGGGATTGTGTGATGCCCACGGAGGATGGCACGGAGTTGAACAACGTGGCCGCGACCCGAGCTGGAGAAGGAAGAAAGACTGAGAGAGCGTACGAGGTAGGGAGGGAGAGAGAGAGAGAGAGAGAGAGAGAGAGAGAGAGAGAGAGAGAGAGAGAAAGAGAGAGAGAGAGAGAGAGAGTTGAGCTTATTTCGAGGAAGCCGTGTAGCATAGCTACTGTAAACAGTACCCCACTTTGTCCTGGCCTCAGAGTGAGAGCACTTGACCTGTCTTGCTTGAATGCACTCCGCCACAAGAGCAGTGCCTCGGAACGTTTTGTTCCCTAACCCTTCTCGAGGGGGATGAGGTTGCTGGCTATACAGCGGTCGCGCTGACACGCGGGGGCTAAGGGGGCCTGCCTGTAGCTCTAACCCCTGGCAAAACAAAGAGAGAGGGAGAGAGACCGCTAGCAAGCAAGCAAGAGACAGAGAGAGAGACAGAGTTTAGGCATTTTAGGGTTGCATCCGGCTCTGTTGTGATGGGTCTTCCTAACCTGATCTTGCTGTCTCGATGCTGTGGGCTTTGGTTTGAGGAGTCGACTTCCCAATTCGCACAGGTCAATCCTGGCCTGACTCCCGAAAGCAAAAGCTCCCGATTCCGACTACTATGACTCCTGCTACTTATGCTGATGCTACTTCTCCTTCCGGTACTCCTCAAGCCTACCGCATCATTGCCCAGGAGTTGCCCAAGCTCAGGTTCACTACACCACGATGATCAATGCTTATGCCGAAAGCGGAGATGTTGAGGGTGCCGCCGTGTGACGCTGAGAGCTGCCAGGTTAGCCTTTTGGCGTGCTTGGTTTCAAGATGTGGGCAGTCGTGTGCAGAAACTTGCGGCAAAGAGTTTGTCTAATAAAATCTAGTGCTCTACTTGAAGCGAGACTCCAAACGAACCATGGTTGAGCGCTTTTAGCTTGATTTCAGCCTGACGGGAAATACAGCAGTAACCCTTGTAAAGGAACCCTAAACCTGTATGTCAAGCTTGGAGCAGTAGACGCACTTCTCGTAAGCCTTACAGAAGCCCCAGGCCCTAAACCCTTGCCGTAACCCCCCAAATCCTGTTAGTAAGCCTTGAAGGAACCCTAAAAGCCCGTGTTGAGACCGGATTTTTTCCAGCCCCGAGCCCGAGGCCTGGTTCCGGCGGGCACGCGAGCCGGCGGCCTAAGACCAGGTTGAGCACCGGGACCTGAAAATCTCAGAAAGGCGCTGTGTCATCAGCCCTGAGGCCTTTTATTCTTTCATTTACTGTTATGATTACGTATTAGTACTTCGATTCCAAGAATTACTGTCATTGCTACTGTTGTTATTCTTGTTATAACGGCTATTGTTGCTATCATTGTTAAGTTTTACTTGTTCCACATCCTAAAGCCTAACTCTCGAAGGCAGCTCAGCTGCTCTTCGCTCAGGGCTTCAGTCACAGCCGAGCAATGTGGAACAGGGTCTTCACCCCTTCACGCCAACAGTCTAATGGCAAAGTGTTCAAGTCTCCTGCATGTACTGGGCACCAGAGGGGTTTAGATAGCCTTCGCTCTGGAACAGAAAAACGGAAGAGATCTCGTGAACGCATGGTTTGTTCTCCTCTCAGTCGGATCCCGCTGTCTTGCTGCCTCAGGCAGCCCCAGGTGCGATTGAATATCTGGGCCTACAATGCATGCAGCTGAGACGGCTTGGACGGGAATGTGGGGCTGAACCGCACCGAACATGCAACAAGCTGCACGTGCATTCGCAATGAAGGCCATGATCAAGGCCTGCGGCAACGCGAAAGCCAGGGCCCCGCATTCTGACTCAGCGTTTTGCGGTTATACACTTGTGAAATTTCCCTGTCTTGAAGGGCCGTGTTGACTTGTCCTCATGCGAGCGTAGTTTTTCATGTTCAGTTCTGAATGCACCCTGTACGACAGACGTCTTGGGCTCAGATCAAAAAGTGTGCTCGTTGTGTGGTTGGACACTCACTAATCCAGTTCCTGCTTCAAACTTGTAGCGGAGCTGTGAGGACAACCACTAGTGTTTCACCCCCGTTGAGCCTGAGGTCCGGGGTCCGTTGGGTAGAGTAGTGATAGTCGCGGCGCAAAGGCCCCTTCTATCCTCGAAGCCATGAGCGTGGCAGGTTTGCGTTACCAGCCCAATCTCTGGTCACAGAACTTGAGCCCTGCAGAAACCAAAAGCGGCTCGTACATATACGACGGGTCGGCTGCTGGCTTCCACGATTGGTGCTTCCGGACACAGATCCGTGTGCTGCAGCATAAGGAGAAGCAGCGGCGTGAAGCTCTGAAGGACCTGCGTTTTGCCGAGTCAGCAAGGTCCAAGAGCGAGTCACCAAGGAAGTGGCGTGGCAGGGCCAGTCAAGGGACCAGTGCATCCCCCACAGAGGGCGATGCGAGCAGCGGTATACCCGCCAGTCCGTCCAGCGCAAAACGGACTAAGCCCGTGTCCGAGGCAGAAGAAGAGGATGCGGAGTCGCTACCGTCGCACCCCAGTCAAGTGACGGGCGACGACGAGCAAGAGCCGGACACGGATCCGGCGGTGTACACCTTGCAAGACGTCAAGGACGAGTCGCTCGACATGAGCGAGTGCGTTAGCAAGATCCTAGAGGGTCTCCGAGGAGATGCCTTTTGCATCGCTCGCGACGTCGGCCTGGAACGTCTGCTTCGCCATGACGGCGTCGACTACCTGATAGAAGAAATCAGGAGGCAAGCCTTCCCTCTTCAATCCGAAGAGGCGTCCGAACTTTTCCGTCAGGGACAGCTCCTGACGGGCCCACTTGCAAAGCAACCTGGCGAGCCTATGTTGTCTTACATAGCCCGCCGAAAGCGGTGGTGGTCGACCTTGCGTGAGCTGGATCCCGATATCCGCCTTTCTGAAGCAATGAGGGCTAATCTCCTTGTTGAGCTTTCAGGGTTGGAAAGGTCCGAGCAGCTAATGGTCAAGACCGCCGCCCGCGTACACAGCGTGGATGAGTACGCACGCGTCCTTGTTCAGCATCACTCAGTGGTGCACATGAAGGAACGTCTTCTTACCCAAAAGGACCCTAGTGGCCCAGGTAAGACCTGGAGACGTTTCGACGCTAAGCCCCAATACCCTAAGTTCGGCTATATGGGGTATGATGGTAGTGCCGCAGAGTATGGTCACCAGGAACAACAGGAATCCGCGGAAGGCTACGGTGACGGCTACGGCGAAGAGGCATACCAGGCCACAGCGTCTGGGGGAGACGATGCGGATGAATGGATTGACGATGAAGATTTAGCTTTGCAACTCAACGCCTATACGGCGGTGGCATTTGAGGCTGAGATCGATGACTTGGACGATTCCTATGCCGAGTCAGTTCAGCTTGCATACGCGGCACAGACCGCATTTGCCCAGGCAAAAGGGAAAGGCAAGAACAAGGGCAAGTCCTCCGGAAAATCCGGAGGGAAGGTCGTGCGTAGCAATCTGACCATTGCTGACCGCAAGGCCAAGTTAGCAGAGCTTAAGGCAAAGAGTAGGTGCTTGAAGTGTGGTGTGATCGGCCATTGGGCCGGAGATGCTGCCTGCAAGTTTAGCGGTAAAGGCAATGGCCCAAAAGGCACCACAACCCCAGCACAGTCTGGGGGAACTGCTAGCGCAGCCGCAAAGTCGGCGGCGCCAAAGCCCCAGGCGTACTTCGCCGCGATGGATGAAGACGACACCGAGTGTGTCCACCTATCGAACGCCAGTGCTGGCAGGCTCGAGGGATATCCAGCCAACCTTGAGATGTCTCCCTCAAAGACCGGCACAGGCAAGGGTCGCGGCAGCGATACGCTGTTCTCGCCACAGCTTCGGCGCACAGCCGCCGCTGGGATCATGCGTGACAGCCCGCCTGTGGGTTCCGATCGTGTTTTCTCCTTTGGCCAGCATAAGGGTCTGACTTATGAGCGTGTCTTGTATACGTTTCCTGGGTATGTTCTTTGGGGACGCACGCAAAAGTGCCCATCCATAAATTTGGCCGATTTCTTGGATTGGGTCACGGAGTACTTTGATGTGCGTGATGATAACCCCATCAGCATCACGAGAAGGGATATCCCTCTCAGTCAGGAACCCCCGCCTGAACCCTTCCAGCCGGAGTAACGCATACATAGACATGCGGACCTGTAAGAAATGCGGCACCGTCACCAAGACAAAGAAAGAGAAGCCTGTCATAGATCAGGCCACATGCCCCCACACCTCCACCGAGAGGTCGGGTAGCAGCAGGAAGACCTCCCGCATTAAGTGCAAGCTTTGTGGGATGCTTCTAGATGAGCAGCCGCAGACCGAG